CCAAGAAAAGGAACAGAACATTCCCTTCAGAGCAGAGCTGCCGCTGCAGGGGCACAGGGCAGCACATACTGGTGGCTCAGGGCATCCAGGGGCGTTACACACTTACGGCACGTGGAGGTTGCATTTCCTCCCCTGTAATAAATGCACAAGGAATAGGTGTTTCTCTTATTTTAACCACCTGGTTGTATTTTGAAACTTTCATATATTGGGGGCACAAGCAGAAATCTTGAGATTCCTCTATTAAAGTATTTTTTACTGCTCCATCATTCCTTACCAGTGCACATGGGTTGTAGAGGTGGCCTGCCTTTTCTTCTTTTTGCTCGTTTTTTTCTCCTCTTTCTGTCTTTTCTCCTTCTCTCCTCTCCCTTTTCTCTTTTATTTCCTTTTCCTCTTCTGTCCTTTTTTTTCTCTTGGGGGAAAAAAAAAGAGTTTATTACTGTATAGAAGTCCAGCAGTAAGACTCTTCTGGGGTTGGGTCACTGTAGCAGCACAAGGAAATCATTAAGGCCTTGGTGCTTTCCATCTTTTCCTTACACTCTTTGAGGACAGCTTTGCATTCAGGCGGGCTTCCCTCTAGGTCATAAAGTACTGGCTTCAGTTACAGGAATCACATTACAACACCTAAATCAGTGAAGAAAACTGGTCCAAAGACTATAGGGAGTGGTGAGGCCTATGGTAAACTGGAGTGAATGGCCCTGCCTATGGCATCCAAATACAAAACAATTTTTTTCCTGTTGTTTCAGGATATTTTTTTGATGTTGTTGGGGGTGGGGGGGTGGGGAAAAGGAATTATGGATGTTTTGAAAGAATTCCTTTGTGAGTAAATACATTGTTGCAAGCAGTTGAAAACAGCTGATCCAGTCGCCTGCTGAGCTGCAGGGAGCATGGGATATCTGCCCCAGATCAAATTTCACCTCCACAGCAGCTGGGAACCTTGCTGCTGCCCAGCCACCAGCTCTGCCTCTTCAGCAAGATGCCAAGCTCCCTGAGTTGGGGTGGTGCCTTTTCCTTTCCTGCCCTCCCATCACCCAGCACAGGCAACCATGCTCCTGACGGGCCCCTGTCACACTTACAGGGCCAGAGCTGCCCACTCACACTTCAGGAGGGATCCTCCAGTGCTTCCTTCTAATCCATTTTCTAATTTCCAGGGATTCTCAAAGTGTCTGCAAACCAAGCAACAGATTCCCCTGGGACTTTTACAGAAATGTGTTTTGGGGCCCTACCCCAAAGGGGGTTAATCAGAAACCCTGGGGGCGGGACCCAGCAATCTAAGCCTTAGGAAGCCCTTCAGTGGACTCTGGTGCCCTAAAGTCCTAAAGTCTCTGTAATGCTTAGAGACCAACAATCTAAATATTGGTTTTCAGCCCTGGCTACACATTCACGTCATCTGGGGAGCTTTAAAAAATTATTAATGGCTGGATCTTACTCCCTCCCATACCAATTTCTTATATAATTGGTCTTGTGTGCAGCCTGGTCTTTGGGATCTTTGAAGTTCCCTGGATAATTCTAAGCTGCAGCTAAGGTTGAAAACCATTGATCTAAATAAATATAGAGACAATGATACTATAAATGATGAAGTAGAAACTCAATAGTGAGACACACTGACAAAAGGTGAGAAAAAGGCTAACATGAGATTTTAAACTATGAAAACATAAGCATAAGGGAAGAGATGACTTGGGTTAGACACTATTAAAGGATATTCCCTTCCTACTATTTAAATTAGGTTAGTTCCTTTGGGAACAATTATATACCAATGGCTTCTAGATGGCTGTGGGTTAGCATTACTTGAAAAGTCCTCTTCACTGCCTCAAAACTCACAGCTCGCTGTGTTATGGAGCACTCATCGTTTGCTGTTCTGTGAATTGTCCTTTTCCCTTTTTTGTAAGTTCACATAGAGGGAGTACTTAAAATAAGCTTGAACTCCATCACAGAGCCTCAAGTCACCCTCAGGATGAGGAAGGGCCCCTATGACGGTCCCTTTAATGCAGGATCTCCTGTCACCAGTCAGTTCAAAGAACAAAGGGTATATGAGGACTATTTTAATCCATGAGAAACAGAATATAAACCTCTTCTTAAGGAAAAACATGAAACCAGAAATGAGTCATCCTTTAAAGGGGGAATCAGTTTTAATGAAGTAAAACTGAGTAATCATATAAAATTTGTTACTCAAGGGCAGTAAATTATCTTGATTTGGAAAGTAACATAGAACTTCATTTGCTATACCACACCAAGTCAGACTAGAATCAAAGGTCTCAATTCAAATTGCACCAGGTCATACTCTGGACTTTTTCTTAGGTTGTCCAGCCCAAAGATCCAGGGAGATAGGACTACACTAAAAATTATAGCCATTCATTACTTTCAAAACAGAAAATGTAACCCCAAAGATGTGTGGTTGTTAAGATTTGTTAAAATGTGATTAGGTTGCATAAAGTCATAAATCACGGCTACTATAAAACTTGGTGGTTAGTAGAGGTTCATTGATTAAACTTGTTAATTGTTTAAGACATAAGAAATTTACAGTGAATCTCCAGGTTTTTCTTCCGCAGCTTATGGAAAAGGATCTTGTTTTCCTATTAAAGTCTCAGAACAGTTTCTGGCAATAAAAACAGCTTGCTTCTACTTTCTTCCGAGACAGCTTACTATGGAAGCTAAGAGTGTCTGAACCTGAACTGGATGAGATCTCGGCTTTGACACCTTTGACAGTAACAAAGTAAATCCAGTGATTGTTTCTTCTAGCTGAGCCTGGGCAAATCAGTCCAAATCAAATTCATGTTTTAGTGTGCACATCCACTGTCCTCAGACTCCAATTTAGCCAATCTGGGGTGGTATTCAAGTCATGGTTTTAAACAAGCACCCCAAGTGGGTGAAATACTGGTCTTACTAATCAATAATAAAGGGTGGTGGTCCTCACGTTTTTCTCTACTTGACAGCTTGTCTGGTATGACTGTACCTGGAGTCTTCATTTGATTTAAAAGTTTACAAGAAGATACTTCTCAGTTCACTTTGACTTAACTATGCAAAGACCCACCTCATTCTGTTTAATCTTCCCTTCCTCCCTAATCCTACTCTGGTACTCCGTACAGACTCCAAGACCAGACCTGGCAGGCTACGGTGTGTGTGTAAATACGACACTGACTCTCACACCAGCAGTGCTTCCCATGTGCTAGGCCTGCTCTAGGGGTGCTAGATCCACGAACTACACCTAGGCTCCCAACTTCGTGATGTGTTCTGCTGTGTACATTTTACAGACGAGGAACTTAAGGTTAAGTCCTTTATGGTCATGGAGATAGCAAGTGATCCGGTGTTGGAATCCTTAATTGCTATGCTCTTTATACATACTTGATTTCCCTAATACTGCTCAGAAGCTCTCCAGCATGACCCTCACCTGGATGCATGAGGATTGCAGTTTTTCCTGGCCTCACTGTAACTGGTGATATCTGGTTCTCTATTTCTCACTAGTGACAGATACAATGTGCCAGCTCTCCAGTGATTTAGTGTTTCACTATGAGTGAGGTTGAACACTTTTTCATTCATGAGCCACATAGGCTTCCTTCTATGAACTGTCTATTCATATCCATTAGCACATTTTTCTATTGAATAAATTTTACTTGCAAAAACTTGTATATTTTTGACATAAATCCTTTGTTATATGAACTCCAAATATTTTCTCCCAATCTATCACCTTATTTGCAGCTAATGTGACAAAATAATCATCCTGGCAAAAATAAAGGAGCTCAATAAGGTTGCTGGATGTTAAGTATTAACATAAAAATCAATAGCATTCCTACACAAAGTGATTACCAATGAGGACATGTAACAGGAAAAAGGTCATATTAATAGAAACAAAACCTAATTTTTATGACTAAATGAATAAAATCACCTACAACTTTTACCTACAAATAAACTAATAAGAGATGTATGAAACCAGTAAGGAGAAAGCTGCAAGACAGAGGGACAGGAAAAACCTTAATGGAGACATTTCATGTTCACTGATGATTTGGAATCACTTTCCCAAATTGTTAATCATCAAATTAATCTACACATTCAAAGCAATTCCAATAAAAACACTAGCAGTGCTGTCACTGAACCTGACACACTGATCCTAGAATTCATAGGTAAAGTGGGTCATGAACAGCTAAGGCACACTTACTTCACTAGAGAGTAAGACTTACACGGGTACAGAGTAATGAAGACGATATGGTACAGGCTCAGGGGCAAACAACTCATGGAACAGAAAGGGGAACCCATAAACTTAGCACATACATGGATAACTGATGTTCAAGAGGTGGCCCTGTGTGAGGCAAAGACAGGCTGACTCCATCAGAGAACTGTCACTTTCTTTTGGGTCCAAGTACAGGGACAGTGACAATTTTCAAAGGCAGCTAGAGAGATGAGAAAATCATTGAAATCTGAGTTACGGTTTGTCCACACACAGGGGACTCAGTCCTGTCTGGAAGTTGCCAAGCTTCTTAGAGGTAAGCTTATGTGGAATTCTTAGGGCATAATCAAAAACCTGGCCAATGACTTACAGGAGTCTCCACGCAGGTTATTTCTGTACCCCTTCCAATTTAAGGCCCTGCAGGCTGCAAAGTGGATTCTGTTTTCAGAAACGGTAAAATGTAAAAAATGTCATGCCTTAGAATCTATGAAATACAGTATGAAATACAGTATTAGCAAAGAAGGCTTCTCCAGGGACTTCTCATATCATACCACATACTTGGAGTGGGGAGATATAGCTGGAAATACTATACCTTGACTTCTATTCCCCAAGATCCCATTTATAAACAAGCCAGGGCACATTCTTGTTCTGAGATAAAGAAGAGCAACTGAAATTTACCCAGACAGAAGGTTCCCCATACCAATAAAAACCTGGTCGACTATTTTAGAAAGATGAAAAAAATCAAGTTAGAGTGTTTATTTAAAAAACTAATGACAAAATGCACTTTAAACGTTAATGAGAAAAATGTAAATACGGTAACAAATTATCCCCACACAGTCTGTATTCTTAAGTCATTTATTTCAATAGAAATATTTCAGAAAACTGTAAATTCATTTTAAGTTAGCTTATGCAAACACACTGACAATCTCACACTCACATTTGCATATTAAGTAGAAACAAAAAGTGAGAGAGAGGAACCAGGTTGCACATCGCCCCAGGAGGTCATAGTGCCACCGAGCGCTTCATCAGATTACCTCATTCATCAGAGTACCTCAGGTCAACCGGATAAAAGGAAATAAAAATGGCTTGTGTTTTCCTGTATATATATTATCATTGGATACGTATCCACAGGTATTGATCTCCTTCAGATTACACTGAGAACGAGTTCCCCGCCCTTTTCCCTCACATACACACTTTCCTGAAGTAAAGGCTGTGAAACAATGAATTTGTCAATAATTAAGGTGTAGAAACTCTTGAGAGTGTGGTGACTTCTTATCAGCTACTCCGTCAGACCTAGTAAGCTAGTAATTATTGGGCTCCATTTGTGAATAGTTCTAATAGGTGATTATCTTCAGGGGAAACTTAACATTTTACCCAGTATCTAAAGCACAGCTAATATTTATGAAATTTTCTGCTTGTCTATTAAAAAAAAGTTAAATCCCAAAGTACTCTATGTATCCCTTTAATCCCATCGCCATTTTGCAGTCCAAATGACCAGACTCAAAATTTAAATTCTGCTAACCTTCAAGGACCAGCTAACCCTTCATTTGTCTTTACAGACTATGTGTATTTGTGCATTCAGAACATACTAGTCCTTTAACATGTGAAAATAGCATCTTGACTCAGTTGAACAGTAGTTCTAGATCTTGCAATATCTCAGAGAAGCAAAATGTTTCCAAGCTCTGCTTTTACTGAGAAAGCTAGTTTAGTCTCTTAACTTCCCTTTATATATTGGAGTTTTTTGCTTTCTTGCCATAATATTTTCAAATAAACAATAGTTGGTAGGTTAAGCAACTTATTTGTTCTGAGTCTTATTTAAATAGAAGAATGAACCAAACTAAAACTCATTTCTGGACCAGAGGGAGTCCATTAGAAGATTTCAGTAGCTTTAATAAAACCCAGACCAATCTTTCTGGCTGCACTGTATTCTTTCAGGGATTTTCTGAAAGGCTTTTGCAATTAAATCTATGCTCAAAACAACATCAATACCACAAAATAAAAATAAACTTAGCTGGATGGATGTGCCTCAAAGTTGTTCTTAAAAGTGCTTATTTAAAGGTTGATTTTGGTGGGTTTATTTTTTATCTCTTACTCTGGAAGGAGGGGAGCAGGGAGGAAGCTTGTCTAAAGAGACTTAAAACCAAGAAGGACTGCAACAATCACCTACAGGCATCTGCACAGACTTTCTTAGACTTGCTGGGAGAAAGAGTAAGCTGGTGGAGAGAGACAGAGCACACACTCCTGAAACAAGAGGAGTAAGAGGGCAAATGATTATTGTCATACTTGATGCCCTAAAATTGGTCTTCAAATTGTTAAGGCACTGACCAAATTTTCCCCCACTGTATGAGATACTGGTGTGATGAAATTGCTTTCAATAAGCTTAAGAGTGCACGCAGATCTCTTGTATTACAATCTTCTAAATAGGAAAAACAGTCACTTTAGACACAAGCCATTTTTAGGGGAGCAAAACCAAAAAGTACTTAAATCCTTCTGAAAAGGTTGACCTCACATGGAAAATAAGTATCATCAGTGTTAATTAAATAACAATGTTTGTATCTCAATGCTTAGAAAAAAAAAGAATACCACTCTGGCTGTAAAATCATAAATTTACTATGTTTGAAAGAAAAAATACAAAAGAAGAGAGAAGAAATAAAAGCAAACCCTAAAAGACCACTGAAGAAGTGGGACAAACCTCACCACTTGCCTTATATTATCTATTCATGCAACAGCAGTATTATCGCTCCACTGGGACACAGTCAAATTCGTCTTCATTTTCAAAAAGGGATCCAATTATTTCAAAAGCCTTTGAAGCAGAGGGTTTCTTTTATTAAAGACGACCTTCTGTTAAGGAACACTGGTACCCCTTGTTTGCAGAAGATAATATGGTTGGTTTAAAAACTGGTTGTAAAGGAATGTGCCTCAAAAAACAGTAAGGATATAGTGGATATAGTCTTTTAATGTTATCTTTTAAAACATTAATGGATTAAATCTACTACTGTTATTGACACTCAATTAATACAATGCCCTATAGTTTTGCTTTCAGTAGTAAAGGCGTATTGCTTACTGATTTAACCTAAAAACAAAAGACTAGAGAAGAAAGGAAAAAGACAAGGAAAGAAAAAAAAAAAAGACTTCTGCTCAAGATTTGGTCAGGTAAACTTTAGGAGTCCAAAGAGGTCAAGGCTAGGCTGCTCTTAGACGGGCCCAGTTTAAACTAATATATTGAGTGTGTACACTAGAGACTGTAAACATCTATTCCTTCTATAACAGTAACACTCCTTGGGCTCCATTATAAATCTTCTAGAAGAGGAATACAGCCACTTATAAAAATTTTGCAACTATAAACATCCTAACTTGTGACATACAGAAAGACCCCGTACCAAGACAGTCCACAGAGAAGGTAGTGCAATAGTCATATGGCATTTTTCACACAGGAAAAAAATCTTTGAAGCAGATGCCTAGGGAGAAAAAAATACTCAACCTCAAATTGTTTGGATCCCTTTTTATAATGTTTACACAAATAATATTTACATAGTAAAGAAAACAGAATAGGAAGGTGTGCTTGATCAGTTCTCTTTGAATTCTTACAGTTTGGAGGTTACAGTAAAAATATCTCTGAAAAAATAAGCAGAGCCCAAACAGAGGGGGCATGACACCAAATACTCTCTGTATGGTCACTATGCAGTTATTTTTATAGTTTTACTTTGAGAACTGATAATGTTTCTTCCATATATTCAAAATAAATTGCTCCAATAAACTGTTACATGAGATGTGCCTCAAACTGTATTTTGGCTAGTATTATATGCTACTACACCAGGCTGTCTAACATGCCAATCATTATGTTTACCGTGAACTAGCTTAAATTTGAATTGTAATAGACTTTCTAATAAGTTCTTCTTGGCTAGGAGAGAAATAAGCTTAATATAGATGGAAATTTCAAGCTTTTGGGTCACTAATTTACTAATATTATTAAGGGTGGACCTAATGAAAGGAAAAAAATTTATCTTCCCACTAAAACACTAACTAGATATTTAATGTATTTTGGTGACCTGTCTTCTTAGCTTGAATTATTATTAGGTATCATTTGGTGAATTATAGATAAAAAATTCACCTACACTATTTCAATTCACTTCTCTCACTGGTTTCCATTTGCTTCAAATGCTAAAACTATCTTAAAAAGCAGCAACTGATTTTTTGAATGGAGGAATCTAAGACTGAAAAACAATGGTGACTTCTACTGCAGTTTTGTTAAGAGTTTGTTAAGACTTTCAGTCAGTCAGAGGCCACAATTCTACACAGAGATTATTCACCAAATTTGAACACTATTCTTATTCTGTGCAAGCATCCATTAAAGTTTAGAGCTGAAAATACCAAACACATCTTCCAGTGAGGCACTCTCTTTGGCAAAACTGTGATGTCAGGCTCTGACTTCCAGTTGTGTATCTCCACAGGAATGGTTTAACTATAATATATCTTAGCTTATTTATGAATACAAACAATAGTAATAACAATAAATCCACAGGGTTCTCATCCACAATATTTTCTTAAAAGCACATATACTGTTAAAAACACTTATTCCTGAAGTGAAATAAACAAACTAAGGAATTAAAAAAAAAAAGCAAAACAAAAAGAAAGATGTGCAAGGTCTACACAGTAATACTGCTGGCTGAGCAGATGGTATCTTTCATGTACCCAACGTGGCTTCAGCTTGGGAGGTCAGTAGTTGAAAAATTGAAAAACATCATTTAGCACAGGCAACATTTTGCCCTCTCCAGCCATGTCACTTTCCGTAAAACCAGAAATAATGGTATTTCTAACTGTGCTGTATGAAGAATATCTTACTTCTTACTATCCTTTCCAAACAGAAAACTAAATGAAAAAAACTCAGCACTCAGAAAAAAGCTCTTCTACTTTCCTTTGGATTGATTTTTAGCTAATTGTTCTGTGGGGCAGTATTTTCTATTTAAGTTTTATGGATTCAAGAATGAAATACTTATGATAAAAAAAAGTATACAATTCTATAAGAATGCAAATGTGAGAAATTTTACGGGAGACTCAACGAAACAGAAGTCTATTAGAGGGTATCTATCAAAAAGCATTTCTTACTCGGGGCCACTGCTAAAATTTATGATGCCTCTTGAGCTTGTGAATCCAACACATAGCCTTTGTTCAAGTGACATTTTTTTTGTTAATACTCTAAGGCACTTCACCTTCAAACTTTTCTTCTTTTTTTAATTCAACATTTTTGAAATTAAAATGAATTATTGCATAGAAGAGCTCTCACAAAACTGCTTGGTCAACTAATGATGGAATACGGTTTCACAGTGGGGATCTACAGTGAGTTTTCAGAAAAATATTGTAATAAAGAAGGGTTATGTAAGAAGGAAAGTTTTGATACTTAAAATTCCCAGAATCTCAATCTTTCATCTTTTTTCCCTTCTAAAATTACTTTGTATGCCTTATAATAAAATGCATACATTATGTGGAATCTCTTTTAAACAAATGTGATCCTGAACCTCATGTTGAACAAAAGTAATAGAAATAAAAAAAAAAAACAAAACTGGCATCGTGCACATTAAACACTGTAAAAGACAACATCCTCACAGAACTATCAATAGATCACTTTGCTGATAAGTATCATTTGTGACTGGTAGAAGGGATAATCCAATTAACTTGAAAATTTTAATTACTGTACAATATTCTCAGAAAAGTCTAGGCTGGGATAACAGTTCACTACTAAGCAGATCTGTGGTCCAACAATGCATTCACATAGAAGGCTAAACTTTAAACCCAGTTAAAAACAACCATGCTTTCTGGAGCCCAGTTGAAAAAAGTGCCTGGCATTAGAACACTCAAGCCTTTACACCTCCTGCAGGAAATAATGTTCCCCTTACAGTACTAAATTTCAGAAGTTTAGTGTTTAAAAAAATCTCCCCTCATTCAAAACAAAACAACCCCCAACAACTCCCATTACTAACATTTCTAATGCCTACACTCTTGCTGCAAGAAGTGAGCGGGGCTGCAGACTAATGGAGGCCAAACACACCTTCCGGTAGGCGGCTGGTGGAGTCCCGCTAAGGCAGACTAGCTTTACACCTCAGTTCAGAAACAGCTCCTGATGAAACTCCTAAGAAACAGGTTTTTCCTTTTAAAGAGTATCTAAAAAAAGTGATTCCCCCCTCCAAAATTAGTACAAAGTTAAAAGAAATGCAAATTAGCTACGATCTATTCCAAGCACAGCACCGCCAGAAGCTTCACACACACTGCTTGGTGTTTCACGTTGGTTTTCCTCTCATTCTGTTAAGGCAGTGGTTTCCACAGGTCGGTTCAGAGATAAGAAGCCTGGTCCGTGGCAGTTTGTTTTGCAACTCCAATTTGTTCTCTGGGAATATCTCACTTCATTCCCTGAAATTAGTGCTTTTTTGGTTCAGAACTCCGAAGGCTGAGCCGGAACCTTTGGGCTCATCCTGGCCCAGGACTGGTCTACAGTTGGCGCTCTCCTCTCAGGCCCTTGCTCTCACGCAGGAGCTATAGTTCACTTTCCCTCCTTCTTAGGCTTTTACTCAAAAGTCATCAAGTTTGTAGGAACCTAAAAAATATAAGCATTTACAAACTGATAGTATTTAAAAGTTGTTTTTCAAGTACTATTGCTTATTTTTGTCTTTTTGAGTAAGTCCAACTATTAAAATCTTTCTGACCTAAATATCTTTTTAAAAAGGTATTTGATAGATGGTACTGCAAGCATTTATAAACAGTGAATAAAATACACTAGAACATTTTTGGGAGAAAAAATCACTGAGATGAGTTAATACTCTTTCCAGTAAGTTGGAATCAGGATGGGACACTGGGTGGAGGAAGTATCTTTCTTATATGGTGGCTCTGAAGATGTTCACTGAATGAATGAATGAAAGACAGGAAAGAGTAAGAACGGCTCTAGTGGGTGAGGTTCACACAAACAGGCTTGCCATTATTTATTTTCTTACACACATTATAATGAATTCCTACATGCAAATTTTAAAGCCCCACATGAAAATTTTATAACAAATCTTACTAAGAATTTTGGTGAAATCATCATGAAAATAAGTACAAAAGAATAAAATTAATTGTTAAATTTTGATCTGATGCTTTGTGACTGAAAAAAAAAAAATCAATAGGTTATATAATAGTTTGTTGGCTTGTAGATTGGATCAAATTTAATTTGGTTTCTTATAAGTTGGAAACTCAACAATTACTCTTTGAAATATGTATATATTTTGCTTTTAAAAATTAGTATTCATGAGAGTCCTCTAGTAAAGGACTAAGGGTTTCACCATGTTAAAAAAAATGTTCTTAACCTTTACTATCAGTTTTGTGTTGGGAGAGAGATTCATTCATATGTCAGTGGTCATTTCTCTGTCCTTTAAACAGCTTAACAGCTCTGACACGTTAGCAATCTCTCTGAAAACCTATGATATTCAAAAAAGAAAAAGTAAATCTCTTATGCATGTCAGCTTCTGAATGAAAAATTATTTGACAATATAATCATACATGAATTATAAATCAAATACAATACAAATGCTTAAGGGCTTAAAGTGTGAACTCTCCGGTTTGGTTTTAAGATGCCCATATTTAGATAAAGTAAACGTTTAATTTCCTCCTAAGTTGCCCGAAAATGCTTTGATGTGTTGTATTTGAGTCAATTAGAGCCTTCTATTAAGAATTTTCAAACTTCACAGTTTTTAATTTATAAATTTGCTACTACTCTGATTCTTGTAAAATAAAGAAACAAACAAAAGCCATTTATGCACATATGACCTGTTCAGCTAGAAGTCCACTAATACAGTAAAAACAAAACAAAACCGAACTTTTATGTTGGTATGTATACACTGTCTAGATTAATCTTGAAATCTGAGGTTTAAAAAAGACACTTAATACTTTAAGCAACATTTCAAGAAAATGTGTAACATGGAGTCCTGAAAAAGCTTAGTTTAGGCAAAAGAAGCTCTGGTTTCTCGCATACTGTCCCAGGCACTAACTTGAAATGGGCAAGAAAGTAAATTTTACTCTAAGACACTTCATGTCCTTAATGGAGGTTGCTAAGAATGGTGCCAAATATGATTATTAGTCTTTCATATTATATTTAAAATAAGAATTATAAAAGAACAAAGCCCATTTCAAAATATTTAAAATATGTAAAAGAATGGACCTAAAGAATGAGGATGGTTTGTGTCTCAAGTCCATGATTTTTCATTTTTTTGACCTTGTGCAGGCCATTTAGCATCTCTGAGCCTTAGTTTCTTTCTTTACCAAAAAAGGGTTAATAATTTTGGTCCTGATATCACAGGGTGAAAATACTTCTATAAGCTACATAAACTTACAGAGTGTATTACTCAAATTTAGCTGCTGACAACACCATATACTTTAGTATTTCTGTACTTTAATACAATGATTTTCAAACATATTCATATTTTTTTCTGAATATATTTGTATTTCAAATACAAAAACTTATCTCCAAAAAGTCTATAGAAATTTCCGTAATTGCAGTTGTGTTTGTTTTTCCTGTTCTACCAATTCGTGGTTTAACTCTGCAACAGGGTTTAGGGAAAACACCACTATGGGTTCATTCTCCTTTTGTAGCTGAAAGCCTTTAAATTGGACCATTTTTGTTTTGGTAAAATAAAAACAAATCCAAGTGGTTTTGGGTTTCACTGTAAGCTACATCAAGTTATCAACAGAACAAATAAAGATGAATCAGAATAATTTGTATTAATTTGAAATACCATCTAATTCTGACCCCCTCTAGGGCTACACTTCCCTGCCTTCTCACTTCTCACTGTACTCTTCCAACATGGGCTACATTTCCTATTTTGAACACCTTAGGCTCATTCCAGCTTCAAGATCTTTGTACTTTCTGTTCCCTCTAACAGAACACTGTTCCTCCTCATCTTCATGTAGCTGTTCCTTCTTGCCATTCACAACAATGTCATCTCCTTAGGGAGCTCTCTGCTGCTCACTTGTACTGATTTAAAGGTGTCTCTACTCCCATTGTTCTGTATCACATAGTTCTAGTTTGTTTTCTTCATACAGTTTTCTCTGTTTGAAATTTTGTTATTTGTTCACTTGTTTATTGCTCACCTCTTCACTTAAATGTGGACTTAATGTCTTATTAATTGGAGTCTATAAGACAAAGAATAAAAACAGTACCTTTTCCCCACTACCTTCAGAAAATTAGTCTACTTACTTCTCTTTGGTACTCTTTTAAATACATTCCCAACGTACAGACCATGAGAGGATTAGGAGAAATTGCTCACCTGTTGTTTGTTACTTTGGCAGGCTGCACTCAAATGCTTGAACCACAGCATTGCATTCATTCTGTTGCCAGCTTGAAACTTATATGAATTTCCTAAAATTATCAAAAGCAATAGGGAAATAATTAAAATGTAAGACTGACATAAAATAATTTTGCAAGATAGCAAAGAGCAAAATAAAACATGACTAGAGTTCTTAGTTCTCAAAAATGAATTCTTAGATGATTCTCTGTTTCTCATACCTGATTTTCCAATATAAATGAAGTTCTATGCTACGTACATTTATATGCTATTCATTTACTCAGAATGTTTTTTTTTGTTTTGCTGTTTACGAACTGGAAGAGAAGTAATTTTATTTTTCTTCTTTAATGTTCTTTAAAGTATATCTACATAATAGTGCATTTAAATAAAGTATATATAAATAATTGTTGGGCTTCTTTAGATGTGTATGTGGATAATACAGAATATTGGTTCTCAGTACTACTTAGAAAATATTAGGTGTTAATATTAAGTTTTTACAGGCCAAAATGCTTGAATATGTTTAACACTTAAAACACTAGCTGTGTAGTGTAATTAAGAATTAATCAGCTAACATCAGTATCAGCTATGTTTTTGGTTTTTTAGTTACTTTTGTCAAAATTATTACAGAATTTCAGGTCTAATGAGGGCATTTTTGGGAAAATCTGAGGAAGCACCTTTTTCTCTTTTAGAAAGATCAGAATTTCATCTACATTGTGTGTGTTTAGTAGACCTAATTAGAATGTTGACTCTAATTCAAGACTGATACATAGTGACTGACAGAATTTTTTTTATGGTTATATGTATTAAGGTAATAAACCGAGAAAAGGGATTCATGCACTATAGACAACCCTAAGTTGAATCTTTTCCCCTTTTTTATTGACCTAAGTTTTTATTTTTCAATTCTTATCAAACTTACTCTTTCCTTTACTCTATTAAATTTTACTCTTCTTTATCCAGAAGCAATAGTTTTCTTCACCAGATGTTTAGTTATTCAGATAACACGGTTTTGCTTTGCTGAACCCAGATGCAAACTTTAGATCACTCAGAGTAGAAGGCATGTCTGTAAGTAAGCTGGCTGCTGCAGCCATTTATCTACTCTCTCCTCCACCAAAAGACCATTAGTATAGACTTCATAAAGATCTTGGTTACTCTGAAATAGTTCTATTAAGCATACTAAAGAAATTAAAAAGAATTTGTTAACAAAACCCAATGAAAACGATCTCTTTTTAAAATGTAATTTCATGAATAATGTAGTTGGAATTTTGGGGGGCTGGGGTTTTGAATTCAGAATGTTGAGTAGGGATTCCTTACTCTGCAAATCTAGTTCATCTCAAAACAAGACATTTTGCTATTATTTTTTCTGCATCCAACATATTTGCTTACTTATGTTTTTAGTTAAAATACCATAATTTCCTAAAAGCTGAATATCTGTTGATGTAAAATACAGTCTAAATAAATAGAGGTCAGAGTATAATCATAGTCAATAAAAGTTAATGTAATTATCGTATCAGTTGTGAGATGCTGGAGTGGAAGATTCTGGGCAAATATGAAAAAATTTCTGGTTTCCTTTGTGGCACTTATTAGCAACTGCCAGTGTTATGAAGGAAGAGCTGCAATCATGTAAGCATCTGTTCTCATGACCAACAGCCCGAGGTCCGCTACAGGCACAAGTAGGGTCAGGAGTATGATCTGACTGTATAGGGGCCACCCTCCAACTTCTCTCCTCCATTTAAAAAACTCATATAATCATAGCCAATAATTTGATTCATAATGTCTCTATATATTGTAAGCAAAGTATTTAAATAGTACTAATTTGGAAAGTGACTTGAGTCAAATAACCAATTAATTTGATTAAAAGAAATGGAATAAAAATCATTTAAGGGAAATCTCTGCCACTCAGAACTTAAGAATAACAATTTATTTCAGGGTATGAATGATGGGTATGACATATGGTGAATTTCTGAGATTTAAAGTAACAGTGGCCTGTATATTCTCAAATTCCCTCCTTCTCTCCCTCTTTTCCTGGTTGTTAGGTCTTTACAGATTATTTGAGCTTTTACTCTCAAGTTTATGACCATTCAGCAAAGAAAATAACCCTATTTATAGGCTTATTAAATAAGTAATTAATAGATATTGATATCTAAAAACACTGATACCATTACGACAAATATTTCTCAAGAGATAAAACTACACAAACATGCCTTCTGGTCAAGTATTCCAGTTAAAGTAGGCTTTGGCTTTCTGAAAGTTATTTATATGCAGTACCTCCCAGCCGAGTAATCCTAATGATTCACCTTTCTCAGAGTCCGTCAGCAAGAAGAGATCTGGATGTTCTGGATCATCAGCCATCATCACCATCCATCCCACTACAGATACATTCTTATTGGATGTTGATTTGAACTGAGAGATAATAAGATAATTAATGAAAACACAAAATTTGTGGTTCATCCTAAGCAAAAATTAAAGAGTTAGCATATTTTTAGTTTCTTCTAGTGAGTGATGAGATTTAATTTCATGCTGGTCAGGTCAGTTGGGGGCCTTTTACTACTAAATTCTAACTAGGCATGCCCTCTTTAGTCTCCTACTTTCCAGATCTTTCCCAGCTTTACCTCTTTATTATGACCTAACTATCCTGGTCTCCACTCATAAACAGCATGATCTCTTAGTGGATATGATAAGTTCATCTATATTGGTTTTTCCTTTTCCTGTGCTAGGCTTCACCCATTCATACACTAGCATCTGAATAGAGGTGTTATCTTCTCCCCCACCCAGTTTTATTGAGATGTAATTGACATATAACAGTGTATAAATTTCAGATATACTGATAATACCAGCAGCGCTGTCAGACAATTCTTAACATACTCTTACTTGTTTTTCTGGGGGGAAAAAAAGATACTCTTTTAGCATGCTTGTTACTTTTCTAGTTTTTTTTTTTTTGAAAGTTACACTTTAGTAATGAAAGAAGAGCTGTTAAAAGAGAGCAGAAAATTAGGTTAATCTCAGTTATGAACATAAATGAAAAAAAAATAAATTGAATATTGGCAAACTGAATCTATCAGTATATAAAAAAGCTGGTACATGATGAACAAATTGGATTTACCCTAGAATGAGAGGCCATTTTATTGTTAGAGATCAATTAATGCAACTAAGTTGGGTTTATTTCAGGAAATCAAAGTTAGTTCAACTTTAGAAAAATTACTAAAATAAATCACATTAAAAGATAAAAAGGGAAAAAAATGATCAACCCAGCTGATGCAAAACAAAATCATTTGCTAAAATATAATGTATACTTGTGATAATTTAGGACTAGAAGGGAACTTTCTAGTTCAATAGAGTATCTACCAAACAAGCAAAACCCCCACACAAAACCAAACCAAAACAAAGGATAAAGGGAAAAGAAACCAAACAAACCCCAAACAAATCTCTGCAATACACATACTCAAGGATAAAGTGCTAAATAAAAAAACCTTCTCAAAATCACTAACAAGACATGGATGCCCACCATTGCTACTTCCATTCAACACTGAACTGGAAGACCTAGTCAGAGGAGATAAAAAAAAAAAAGAAAAGAAAAGAAATAAAAGGTATAAGGGTGAGGAAGAAATAAAAATATCATTGTTCGCAGATGATATTATCTATAGAAAATCCACCAAAATCTACCAGATAAATAAGAAAGATTAGCAAGGACACTTAGAAAAGATCAATATGAAAGTCAGCTGTAATTTTACACACTAAAAATATAAAAGTCCTTTGTAAGAAAGATACTTAGGACTATACATAACAAAATACATGCAGGAAAGTATAACAGTTAAAAGACATTCAAGAAATCATTGGTATTTGTCTTTCTCTGCCTGACTTATTTCACTGAGCATAATACCCTCTAGCTCCACCATGTTGTTGCAAATGGTAGGATTTGTTTCTTTCTTACGGCTGAATATTATTCCACTGTGTATAAGTACCGCATCTTCTTAATTCAATCATCTAATGGACACTTAGGTTGCTTCCATATCTTGGCTATTGTAAATAGTGCTTCAATAAACATAGGGGTGCATATGTCTTTGCATCTGAGAAGTTGATTTCCCTCATGTGTAGAGTATAACAACAAAGCAAAACTGAAGGAGCAAAATAGCAGCAGACTCACAGACTCCAAGAAGGGACCAGTGGTTATGAAAGGTAAGGGGTTGGGGAGGGCCAGTGGGGAGGGAGGGAGAAGGAGATTGTGGGGTATCATGATTGGTGCACATAGTGTGTGTGGGGTCATAGGGAAGACAGTGCAGCTCAGAGAAGACAAATAGGGACTCTGTGGCACCTTACTACACTGATGGACAGTGACTGCAATGGGGTATGGGAGGGGACTCAATAATAAGGGTGAATGTAATAACCACATTGTTTGTCTTGTGAAACCTTCATAAGAGTGTATATCAATGATACCTTAATCAAAAAAATTAAAAAAAAAAATAAATAGTTGCAAAGGAAAATAAAACACCGAAAAAAAAAACATTCAAGAAGACCTAAACCAATGGAGAAATACTATGAGATGAAGAAGGCCTGATGTATGGATGGCAATTCTCCCTAAATTCATCTATAGATTCAGTGCTATTTTGATAAAAATTCCAGTACGGTTTTATGTGGAACTTGAGAAGCTGCTTCTAAAATTTATGTGTAAGAGCAAAGGATGAGAAATTGCCAACACACTCTTTAAGAAGAATTAGGAAGGACTTGCCCTTCTACTCATCAAGACTTGCAAAGCTACAGTAATTGAGACCATCAGCTGTTGGGATGGGACAGAGTTACAGTGCAGTGGAAAGGCAGAAAGCAATGCATGCATATAGATGCAAATTCTTATGATAAGAGTAGGCTCTGCAGATGAGTGAAGGAAGAATGAACTGTTCAATTAATGGTGTCAGGAAAATTAGTTATCCACAGAGAAATCATGAGAATGATTTCTGAATTTCATGAATATCTCCTTCACATCACATCTCTACACACACACACACACCCTGACTCCAGGTGGATCAATGATTTAAAGGCAAAATGCAAAATTTTAAGTCCATCAGAAAATACAGAAGAGGATCTTAATGATCTCAGGTTAGAGGAGGATTTTCAAAACATGACTCAAAGTGTTAGCCGTAAAGGAAAAGATAAATTTTATTACTTTAAGATTAAGAGCTCTTCACTAAAAGACATCACAAAGATGGTGAAAAAAACAAGTCAAACAAACTGGAAGAAGATATCTGCAACACGTAACTTCTAATAGATTAGTAACCACAATACATAAAGAACTTTTATCAATTAGTGAGAAAACATACCACCCGCTGGACAAAATATTTATCCAAGCATTTTACAGAAGAAACACGAATGACCAATAAACATGAAAAAAATTTCAAACTCATTAAGTAAATAAGGGGTATATAAACTGAAATCAAAGGTATTATTTCATACTTACTAGGTCAGCCAAAATTAAAAAGCCTGACAGTAAGTATGGTGAGGCTGTGGAACAACGAAAAACCTCATTATGCTACTGTGAGTGTGGAAATCAATTTGGAATTTTCTTGCAAGCTGAACATTTGTACTCTTAGGTAAATACAGAAAAATATTTATAACACCATTGTTTGGTGCAGCAAAAAGTTGGAAACCACCCGAATATCCATCAACAGTAGAATGATGAATAATTCATGGCAGATTCATAAAATGACTATTTAATTGTGAAAAGGAGTAAATGACAGTTACATGCATTGATGGTGTTGAATCTCAATAAAGTAATAAGCAAAAAAGATAGTACTTAAGACTACATATGTAAAACCATTCAGGTACAATTAAAAAATGAAACAATGTGTAAAGGAAATATATATATGGTAAAATTCTAAACAAAAATAAGGCAATGATTAACATGAAATTCAGGATAGTGACACAGGATGTGCATATGGCTGATAAGAAAGAGGATGCTATTTGGGAAGACATGGATAGTTCTAGTAGTGTTTTGTTTCTTATGCTGTGTGGAGTTACATGGTTGTTCATTTTATTTATTATTCCTTAAAATGCATATGAACATGAATTCTTTTGTATGTTATGTATTTCACAGTTTTAAAGAAACTGGAGAAAGAATAAATGCAACACATTATTTAATAATAGCATGGGCACTACAAACATGAAAGCTAAAGGAGTTAGGGATTTTTAATACTATGAAGAATGAAATTGGCAAAACCGCAGATCTGCTGAATTGACAGTTTATAATTTATGTCAAAGTGGATAGCAAAGTATTCTAATATTCTTTTCCTAACCCTGAAAACCTCTGCCTCAATTACTTCTTTTTTCAATTAAAAAGAAAATATCAACTCAAGAAATATAAACCCCTTCATGTCAGAGAAGTGAAGCGTAGAGTGCAAAGGTCCCCTGACTGCCAGCCGGATCTCACCCTACTCCCTAGACTTCATCACTGTGGGGCGTAGCCCTCTAAACTTCTATGTATTTACACTAAAGACTTTCCTGTTCCTGCTGGTTTTTATAGACTAATGGGGGTATATTTATACTCTGACTTGTGGTTTTCACTTATCAATATTTCCTTATTGGTAAGTATTTTGAGTGTTTACAGATCTCTGCTATTATAAACATTATAGGAATGTTCTTCCATAGATATATTCAAGAATTTCCATAGGACAGACTCTCAGATAAGGAACTTGTGATAATTATTAAGTTAAATACTGACTAGGACTGCCCACCACAAAAACAATACCAGTTTAAATTCCTGCCAACTGTGGATGATAACCTGTTTCCCTATATCATGGCCAATGCTGTATTACTAATCCTGTAAATTTTTGCCTAATAGCAAAAAAAAAAGAGCATCTTCTTTAATCTGCACTTTTTTAACTTAGTGAGGATGATTTTCTTTTCATGCTTACCAGCCATTTGTATTTCATCTACTATTTATTTCCCTTTTCCATTTTCCTATTGTTTTATTCTTACTGAGTTGTGGATGGTCTTTATATATACTACAGATCTCTTTTTCAGGTGCAGTCTTCATTTTAAAAATTTAATCAAACAATGTTTATTCACTACCATGTAGTGATAGGTTCAAGTTCATCTGCAAAAAGTCTTTACAATGTATATACATTCATTAAAAAATATTTTTACAGTGAATATTTTCATTTTAAAACATTCAAAAATACTGACATAAAATAGTCCCTCTCACACCAGTCAGTCTTCCAAAGCCTACTCTGTTCCTTATTTTTTTTTAAAAGAAGTAAAGAGTAATAAACTATAGGTATGTAGGCTTCTAGATGCTTCCTTCTGCATTTATTGACATATATAAACAGTTCTATTTTTATTAGTGACTTTTTTCTCCTCCAGATTTTAATTTTGAAAGGTTGAAACTAGAGAAATTGAAAGAATTCTACAATGATTACTCATATATCTATATTTTGCATTTGCTTGATCTCTTTGCATTTAAATATGAGTTAGAGACATCATGACACTGAACTCTAAATAATTTCATTATGTATCTCCTAAGAATATATTCCTATGCAATCAGTGTATCATATCTAAGAAATTTAACTGACACAATCATATGAAGTCTGTATTAAAATTTCTTCAGTGTCCCAACTATGACCTTTATAGCTGTAGGTTTAAAAAAAAAATTCCCTCTAGGATTCAACCACAGTACATACAGTTCACTTAGTTGTCAAGAGTCTTTAGTTTCTTTCAATTTGGAAGAGCTCTCCCCTATCCCCTCCATCTGCCAAATTTGGGTCTTCAGCATCCACGTCAGTTGTCTTGCAGAAAACGTCCCACTATCTGGATTTGATTATTTGCCCATATTAGATTCATGTTAAATTTTTGGCAAGAACAGTACAATAGGTGGTGCTGTATTTACATAACAGATTTTAATCTTTTATCTGTTGTTTACATATAGTCAATATTATCTTCCAATTTATATTTTAATTTTGTGTGAAAATGATTTCCTTCATTGCTTTTAGTTCTGTGCCCTATTTCTTCTATCCTAAAATGGATACTAAATATAAACATGGACCTGTCTCTCTCTATCCTCTATTGTATTCTTATCAATCTCTATGGAGTCTTGACAGTTTTAATTTAAAAAGATCAGGTACACAGTCCATTGCTTTGGTAGTCAATGTGAATTCCTCACAATCCACTATATTCTATTTCTAAACATGTCACATATATTGTTTATCATATATATCTCATAATTAAAAACCCAAACTATCATGTTATTAATTCTCCATGTGTAAGCAGTAATGCCAAACACAGAGAGACATTTAACATATGCATTAGATGACCAACTCAATTATCTTATCAATACTCTAATTTGGTTTCTAAGTAAACTTAGGAAAAAACAAAAGAGTTTATTTTGAATAGCTACTTTTTTATAATTGTCAACTAAGTGAAGTCCAGCCAAGTATCTCAAAGTGGCTCTGTGAAGAGTCAACTCTATCAACCTCTTCTCCCCCACTTGGAGTACAGCAATACTCACCAGAGTCAATTACTCTGCAAAATGTTCTAGTGAAACTAATCTGTATAACTTTGTTGGGTATGTGGGCATAATATTTAATTTGATGAGAATACAAAAAATTGTCTTTTACCTCAATGTGAGGGCTATTATCTAAATAATTATAACAGTGAGCAAAAAAGCCAGTGCTTAAGAATTTTTGTGATTCCTTTCAGGAACAGTTAAAAAATGAAGCAATGTATTTAAGAAAACATATATGGTAAACTTTAAAGCAAAGCAAATCAATGATTAATGTGAAATTCAGGACAGTGACATGTTGTGGTTATGGCTAATAAGGAAGGAAGATAATGCTATCTTATGGCTTCTCCCACATTCACTTAAACCAAAAATGTATTCTATACCTCTGATTTGATGGGCTGAAACTGTGAGAATAAAGAAGTGCTTCCCTATTATGCAAGGTTACAGTAATTTATAAGTAGCAAAAGGACTTATTTTTTAGTGGCTTACCTTTTCTCAGTATGGTAAACTACTTAATTCACCCCCAAAATACATGATTTAAAAATGAAATTCCTCTCAAAGGTGTTGTATTAATACAACATAGAATATTCTTCCTTTCAAAGACTGTATCACTGGCATATAAAAAGAAAACTGCATGCAAAAAAGATCTATAAGGAAGACCCTACATTTGGGAGAGAAGAGCATGGAGAGGCTTCTTTTAAGTAATATGAAGCACAAAAAAGTGGACCATAGTAAGCACAGGACTATTATCACTCCTCATGGTTGGGAAAATTACTCAGAGATTGAGGTAGAAGAACTTTACATGATGGTCCCAATTTTTTATCTTTTACAGACTAGGAACCACAACTCCAGGGCAATTGATTTTCAACCAGGTTCTGAGCAAGAAACCCAGGTTTGGGAAAGCTTTGATGCCAAAGATAGATACTTGTAATGTACAGTTCTGTAATGGAAAAACAGCGTTCAAAATAGAAACTTCAAAATATTGATGTTATTCCAAGACTTTCTTTGGAATGGTCTTACTAAATAAAATAATTCCATTACAGCACTCCTATACAGAAGTGGATCTGAATATGGAGAATTAGAACATGGAGGGAAAAAGCAAACCACTGCATTCCATTCGGTCTACTTCCTTTATGACCATGAAGTGGTTGTGAAACTAAGCCAACAACCCTGAGGAAGAATACTCACATGTTTTCTTTCTGTGGCCTTTAGAGATTTGGCAGCGTAGTAAAAAAGTTGTGTCCCACACAAGGCTGCCCAGTACTTTGTCCACGATGCCACCTGGAGAGGACAAACGGATGGTCACTGAAATGCTCCTGGCTTCGGGTTTTCCTTAGTGCTGCTGACCTTCAGTGCCATTCCACTTCAGCCACCTTAGCCTTAGAGTTGAGTCTCCTCTGAAATCTTTATCTCCAAAATTCCCATCACTTCCACCTACTGTATTATATAGTACTTCCATTCAGATAATTATTCATCTAGTCAAGAATGCTATCAACTTTTAATATTATCTAGTATTGCCACAGCCTGCCATCCCATATCCTCCCCCTTCCTTTATATTTAGCCAGTATACTTGGTCCACCACTTTATACTCATTCCCTTCCAAATACTTTTATCTCACTGCCCCTCTCTCCTGATGTAAATCTAACCTAGTTTAATCTAACCATCTGATAACTTAGCACCATCAGAGCTACTGAATATGGCTGGAGAATAATTGTGCCAACTGATAAAATTATGGCTACCGATCTCAAAAGGAGAGTAGTAATACTTCACTTTCACCCAGTCAAGTCATTATACTCTCCCCGGAGACACAATTTCATACCTTCTCCTCAAAATTCTCATATTCCACCCCCTAATGATATCACTGCTTAGTTCCTAGAGAAAAACAGATGAAATCTGGTGAGGACGACATTATCTTTGCAGACCAATCCCATCTCGGTACCTGTTTGTAGACCCACAAACTGAGCCTTTTTTCCTGTTACAATGGAATAATTAACTCTGCTTCTATAAAAGGAGAAATCAACTCTTTTTTGCCCTAGATTCCCACTATCTCTTGCTTTTTCAAGGAATCTACTTTTGCAATTTACTCCTCTTTCCATGGCATCGTGATGTCTCTCCCTCTGCCACCATTACATGAATGAGGCTTCCCAGTCTCTCACCTTCAAAGATTCCTCCCCTGACCCATCCCCTGACCCTTCAGATACCATCAAATTTCTCTGCTCCTTTTCACAGAGTAATTTATCACAAGGTGTCTCTTATTCCTGACTTTTTCTATTTTGCCCATTTTTTCCCTCAATTTATTTTCGTTAGGTGGCTGCTTCAAGGTCACTGTTTACTGACATTTCACCAAAGCCTCTGTTAAGTCGACTTCTTGGCAAAATCTGACACAGCTGGCTACTCCTTTCATCTTAAAATACTCTATTAGGCTTCTATGATAACAGTGGTTTCTTCTACACTCTTCTACAGACCTTTTAATGCTACAATGTTTTATTCCTCTTTTCTTCCCCAGACGTACTTTCTTCATAGATAACCAATCTCATCCAGTCCATACTTCAATTACTATCTGTATTCTAATGATCCTCAAATCTCTCTCTGGCCACAACCTCTTCGCTGAACTTCTGAACTATATTTTTCAAAGAGTCAAAATGATATCTTCACTTAAACATCTAATAAGCATACCAAACTGAACTTAGCTGAGACTTACTACCCCCTCTCAAAAAAACTCTGTTGCAATAAATGTCCCCAACACTTACCCAATTCAGTCTGAAACCCAGAAGTTACGTTTGTTTCCCTTTTTCTCTCATACATTGCATCTAATACATCATCAAGCAACCCTAGCGTTTCTCTTATTTCATCTTTTCCCACCCCCTCCACTTTCAATGCTTCCACTGAACAGACTGTGTCTCCTGAACTCAGGATCTTCATGGGGCCAGCTCACCCTCCTCATTCGGATCTCAGCTCAAGCGCCTTGCTATGGTAATGTCTCTCCTCAACTCACCCAGTCATTCTCCGTCCCATCGCCTTATCGTAAGGCCCTATGTTCTGCTGATCCTCACTGAAATGTCATCTCCATCAGGCAGGGACATCCCCTCATCTCATTCGCTGCTCTATTTCTAGCATCTGGGACACAATAGGTGTGATAATGCCTCAACTGACATGCTATTTTTAGTTCACTGGCTGGCCTAGTGTAGCTTGATTGTATGTGCCTGAGGTTTACTGCAATGTAAGCAGCAAAATCAGCTTATTCAGACAAAACCATTTTTACATTTTAAGATCTCATTTCTTCAAAAGCTTCAAGTGTATATACGTATCAAATATTTTATTCCACATAAGATGACTGCTTTTTGAGACAAGGTGAAAACATCTTTCTTTAGTAGTTAAACTACTGTGCTGCTGGTGGGGAAGAATAAGCTTTGGGTCCCACATGAAATATAAGAACTATATTATAGGGTAAAGGAAAGTCCAGAATACCTTGATTTAAGCACCCTAAATATATGCCTTAATTGAAACCTACATTAAAAAACATGGTGAGGCAATGTGTATTTTAAATTATTTCAAGTGTACTGAAATAATTTTCAATTGCCTTCATATTTTTCATGGTCCTAGACATTTGCCTACTTTTAGAGGTATATTAAAATATAATAAAATCTTACTGTAGGCTTTTTGCCTTCTTTTAATAAAGTTTTTCTCTTGAGAACACCTTGAATAGTAACAGCTCCTGGATACAAATGGACTGCTAAATCTTCTGATTCTGCAGAACTGTAATAATGAAATGAAGAAAAGAACATGTAAGAGCTTTCATTTACTTTGTTATCAAATAGGTACTTAAGTGAAATTACTCTTAATTTTAAAATTTTGGTACTGTATTCAGAATGAGAAGACATTGACAATTATAAAGGTTTATTGATATGAAATTTTTTATTAAGCTGTCACAAAAGGTAATCAGGAAGATATTCATGTCGGAAGATGGTTAAAAAACACACTTTATTACATATTTGAACAAGTACAATTTAGAAAGAATAATAGAATAATTCACTTTAGCAAAGATTAAATTAAGTATTTAAGACTTTTTCTTCTTAATATGCCACACTGCATCATTGCTATAAACTTTTCCTGCCCATTAGAAACTGTAAGTCCTGGTAGGAAAAATGAAGATTCTATTTGTTAAAAGTATTTAACCATATAAAAGTCAAAAATAGCAGACGCTCAAAAAGAGGATGAGAGAAAACCCACACTTAATTCTAAAACAGGTGAAAGAAAATAATAAAGGCAATAATGACATATTTAAAAAACTGGCTTTCTGGAATAAATTTTAATGATATTTAAATGCTGTCCATGCTTAAGCATTTCAATATAGCCGAACAGCTCTCCAAGAAAGGAATGTGTCAAAAACTCAAGACTTGCTTTTCATACATTTTAAGAAAACTATCACACAATGACAATCATTTATATAGTTTCCCAACTGATTTAAGGTCCTATATTAAGACAAGAGTACTTTATACATATGTCAATTAAAACATATACACTAGCAAACATCGGTCATTCTCTGGTGATCTGACATGAGCAGCAGAATCCTACAAGAGTGAAGAAAATTGAAGTTTGCCAGTTTATCCTTTATGATTATTTAGGTGTCTTCATGGAGGCTTAAAAACCTAGAAACTACTAGAAATTTCATGCTAGAATTATTGATATTCAGGAAGGTATACACAAGGAGATTAGACACCATCAAACGGAATAAAGTTCACTTCTAATGTTGGCTTTTTATTTTTTTATGAATTGGTTGATTCCCATTACCAATAACCTCCAGCCCCCAGTCAATCTGCCATCCTTATTTTCTTCAGCAGCTAACACAGTGAAAGAGACCTGGTTTAACTAGATGAACAACTGCATAACATGGATTTAAATATACAAACATTATTTAATAATACAGACTTGTCTAAATTCAGGACCTGAATTTATTTTATTTGACAAATTCTTAAGAAAGACAAATTGAATATAGGCTTCCTAGCAGAGTAAATGCTTTGGTTGTAGCCTTTGATAACAAGTGGATTTCTGTATTGCTCACCCCATAACTAGCAGCGTGAGAAAGATCTGTGCAATGAAAAGGCTATGAAGTTGGAATTATTTTTAAAATGTGACCTGAAGATGCAAGTTTTAGCAATTAGCACTGTGGGATCAGAAAGAATAGCTCAAATTTATCTCTAGATTAAACCTTGGAAAAGAAAGTTTTCCCGGACATTTTTTTTAGTTTAAATCAATTAGTTGAGAAAGAATAGAAATAGTGTGACAGACCACACCCATGTATACCAATCACCAACACCAGAGGGGAGCTGTGTGGCCCCTGAATGCAGGGGAAGGTACCTGCTGGCCTTCATGTGGCTTCGATAGCCATTTCGTGCCACTTGTGTCATCGGGCCGAGAGAATGGTATAATCTGTTCCTGTTGGATTCCATTATATATTGTATATATATTACATATACTTTTGTTCACACAATCATATCAATACCTAAGACAAAACAGTAATTTCTTTGTGTAATACATCTTTCTGAATCCTACAAAAGGATAGTATGTGATTGTTCCTGATTTTTTTTAAAGCATGCAGCAGCATAGATTTCATAAAATTTTTTCTTCTACTATTGATTCTGGAAGTACTTATAGGTGGTTATTATGTACCACACATTTATATATACATTTGCTTTCACAAGTCTGCTAAAATAAAGATTATTTTAATTAATACTATTAAAACTTGAAAAACACTGTAAAAATACTTTTGTGTTTACTGTTCTTGGATTCCAGTTTAAATATGATAGGTGGATTTGTAAAAATAACTCACTTTTATTTTATGTCCCTATGAAGGCACCTAAAAGCAATGTGGCCTGATAACTTAAAGTTAATGTGCCTGAACACCTTCTTTTCCTGTCTAGCCTTTATATTAAATCTAAGAAAACTAATAAAAGAGATGACCTGAGTAACAAATAAAGGCATTATATTATTTCCACATCAACTGAAATTAACAAATGATAAAGCCAATAAATGATAAAAATGGTGTGAGTTAATATTTATCCAAAATGGCATGTAATACTTAACGAAGGAAATAAACACACACACACACAGAAACACTGACACTTCTTTGCCTAGGAAAAGTCAAGAGTAGCACTATTGATAAATGATATTTAAAACAAAAAGCATTATTTTTAACAACTTAAGCAGCAATATATTTGGGGTCTCTCTAGGAAATAAGAACAGAAAATGGGATGTTTAACACTCAGTGTACTATTTTCAAGTTCACTATCCACAAACAGTATTTTAAATCCTAGTTCTTTATTCACTTTTTATTATTTCATGTCTGAATCTTGCTGGGAAGACCTAATTTGCTCTCAAAATGTTCCAAGAGCCACTGATTTAAACTTAGCACACATACATTAGTAGCTGCAAATGTCTGCAAAGTAAAACATTCGTCATAAAAGAAAAATACTGTTTTGAGATACGAAGGTAACACCATTAAATACTGTCTTCAAAAGTAACCTGCTGGATGAGAACAGATTATTTAACACAATAGCATCCTGGTTACTCATAACTCATGCAATCTGAGAAACAATTTTGTTTATCAATATTTTTAATCTAAAGATTATAATATACTTTATAACCAACATTCTGATGGTATTATGTATGCTCTTTACAGAGGGTAAGAATGCTATGACAATTTATACAGAAAGCATGCTAAAGACAACTCTTATGTTTTTCCTGTTTCAGGCAACCCCAAATAAAGACTGAATGCAAAAGCTGAAAGAGAAATTATGTGCAAAAAGAAAATTTTAAGAATCCCCCAAAACAAAGACAACTTCAGAACATTGGTAATTGGAGTAGTAGAAAGGATCAAAAGTATTTTGAAATGCTGGGCTTACTAATAAGTAAAAGCTTAATAACATAATGGTGAGAAATTTTTTTGAATTTTCATCAAGAACAAGGATATAATTATAAAATTAAACAGCATGAAATTAATTCTATCTAATACAGTTTAATTTCAAATGTACAGTTAGTATAATTGCTTTCTATTTAAAGATAACTGATAGGGAGTTAGGTAACTAAGTATTTTCAGCTCCATCAATTTTAATATGATGTTCAAAATTCAATCTAAATGACTCTTGTTGCTTAGAAGTTTACTCAGTTTATATACAAAAGGGAGCAATCATTTTTGTCAAGAGTCAAGCATCTTGTAAGTATGAAAACGGTAGAACTGAAATGGTCAAAGACAACATAAAAGTACTAATGGACATTAAGTAAATGGCAATTATTTGCACCATTTGGCTGTATTTTAAAGGAGATCTTACATTGGAAGACTAATAATACAGCATTTTATTTGCTGCAGGCAGATGATGGCCTTTATAGCTTAAAGCAATAAAGACAGAAGGGAGCACGGTTTAACAGTATTTCAGTATAAATCTGTGTGCTCTGTGAAAACTTTGAGTTAATGACAATTTAAATTCAAGCTTCTTTGCTTATAATTTAAAATTTACTAAGTCACTTTGCCCTTGACAAAGGAGAAGAGAATGAAGTTGATCATTCCACTTACCAAAAGCCTTAAAATTATTTAAATGAACCAGAATTTAGGACAAGAATTTTACTTTTGAATACAGAAGTAGGTAACTTGACTATGATTGGTTATTATTTTTAAATTTTATGTAAAATGTACTAACATTCAAATACCTGTGTCAAGTCACCAAAAAACCATATTTTTAGTAGATTAAACTTAATTTGTCTTAAATATCAACTTCTAATTTATGTCACCAGCAAGAAGCCTAAATAGTTCCTTAGAGATATGTAATGAATGTTATCTCTTAAAATTCATTATTATCATATACTTTAAGGCAGAAAAAATAAACTCAAAGCAGTTCAACTGGACAATTTTTCTTACCTTTCAAAAGCAGGCCATGAGGTCTCTTCACTTAGTTCAGAACCATCACTACTACCTGAAATAAAAAGTTATCCTATTTTTAAAAAATCAAAATTACAGTTGAATTTTATATTTTAAAAATAAAACTGTGCTCATAAAATGACAATCATGTTATTTGTGGATCAATCATGTTATTTGTGGATTAATCCTTTATTCTAATATTACTGCTGCTAGATTTATTTTGTAATATTTTGGAATGCAGCTGACAGCACTACCTAAAATAACAAAATGGCATAAAACATTTTTGATGTCTACTTATAGCTCAAATTCATTGTTATTAATAAATAATTTTCCTACCATCAGAGAATGCACATAAACACAAAATTTTTCCTTCTTATATGGTTTATCATAACTTAAGACCAATGTTAAATAATTTTCCTACCATCAGAGAATGCACATAAACACAAAATTTTTCCTTCTTATATGGTTTATCATAACTTAAGACCAATGTAATTGTGAAATTTTTAGAGGTTCATGGCACACTTCTTTCCTTTTGCATTCCTTTTAAAATTCATTAGTACCCTAACATAAAAAGTTTAACGAAATTCAATTTTTGCCCTCAGATGCAAGGCAGAAGAGGATGGAATCCCTAAGTTAAGAAAAAAAAATATTTTGGTGCTATGTAAATTGTAAAAACTTTCTCTTTGGCCAGAATATCAGTGAAAAGAAAGTTTTAAATTCACTAAAGAAAAAACTAAGGAGAATGAATTTGGAGAGTATAATGCAGCCTCAATTGATTTTAAAGGTACTTTAAAGATAATCTGCCTCTTAATAAAATTGATGATTAACATGTCTCTTACATATCAAGTTGAATTGTCTACCAGACTTTCACAACCAGTGTTCCCTACAAGACTCAAACTCTGATTCTATAATGTATCCATTATATGTGATGGATTACTACCTCTTCTGTGTATTTAGAATGGCACAAGCTACGTACTATCCTTGGAAGAGTTGACTAACAGACAACAGATAATTTTCGGGTTGTGTGGTTCAGATAAGAAACTGGAGATAATTTGTTGGTAGGGTTTTATAGATTATCTTTTGATTTGTGGTAACTGCAGACTGAAAATTTAAGCATAATTACAATATGACTTATTTGTAGAAAATCTAAGATTTTCTAGGAGCATGAAACTCTCTTAGCTATGGACAAGACTGCTTTATGTTATCTGGGACATCTATACCACATTAGGAAATGTTAGAGGCCATCGTCCCAAGCTTGGTTAATTTCTCTAGAGTACTTTCTCAAAGCACTCATGGTATAAATTAATATTGTATGTATATTTACAGTGAAGGAAAAAAAACGTTTTGTGATTATGAATTTCACATGTGCGCCTGTGTCTGTATTAACACCTACCACCCATGGTTATAGACTTACTTTCTTTTCAGGGTGTTAAAGCTTTCAAAAAAAAAAATCCTGGAATGTAATGCCTATGTCAAATGTTCTTTTGTTTATAAAGAGAGATGTAACAATTTTTACTGTTTATCTACTTAACACCCTTAGAATAATTAAAAAATCAATACAAAGCCAAGAATTAAAATACTTTTCCCTATTCTAAAAGGAAGGTCTCCAAGATGAGACACCAACTGTAACAGAAAGAGTAACCAGATAATTATTTTGTGGTAACCAAAAGAACATCTATGGAAAGTAAAAGCCACAAAGAAGCTAAACAATAACTATCATTATAATACTTATGATGGGAAAAAGCCAAATATTATCTATACACTTAACTGAGAGTTTAAAATTTTAAAAATTATTAGTGCTTGCCTTAGTGGCATCCATTAAGTGTAACAAATTTTTAATCAGAAAAAAGTTCTTCCTTTCTCTTTTGCAAAATTATTCTGTGTACTTTTTTCAGATTGAGGTTGATACCTGCAGATAGGCAAGTCATAGCATTGATAAATAGTTATTTCAGGTGGCTAACTTGTCATCTTCTTTGTAAATTTTGTCATCATTTAATAATTTGCATTTATAAATAGGGGAACTTCAGAATAAAAAACTCCTGAATGGTGCTGGAAAGCTCTGAAGCAATTTCGTTTCCAGGGTTGAAACTCTCAAAGGTAAAGGAAGTCAGTATGTTCAAGAAAATGAACTCCTGTACTTTTTTCTGACTGTTCATTCATATTCAAATAATCACATTAACAATGATAGGCTTAGCCCTTAAGCAACCTGGCTCTTAAACAGAGGAGAACGTTTTCCTCCTTTATTTTTTTTACAAATAAAAATAGCATTGTATATAGATTTTTCTAATCATCTGAAGAAATAATGTTCATTTAGAAGATTCAAAAAATAAACAAAAGTTTACGAAGTAAAAACCAACAGACTCCTCTCTTAATCTCATATTTCTTTTCTAGTATGGTCCTGAGTTCTTGCTCTCCTCCTGGCAGTATCTCTATTTCCTCACCTCTCATTCTCCCATCTATTCCAATCAGGGCTTTGCCCCCATTATTCTATGAAGCAACTCTTATCAAGGTCGCCAATGACTTTTATTTTGCCAAACCCACTGATCAACTTCCACTCTCATCTTTTTTTTTCCATGTGATATTGATACTTTCAGTACTTCCCCTGGCACTTCCTCTACTGGGCTTTTGTGATACCACACTCAGGTGTTACCCCTATTTCACTTGTCCCTTTTTTGTAGTTTCCTTTGATAGCCTACTCTTCTTTTTTAAAAAAAATAATTTAATCAGGCCTTTAAATGTTAGAATGCTTCTTCTTTATTTGAACTCTCTCTCTAAGTGACCTCAACCAGTCCCATGGCTTAAATACTTTTAAGTATGCTAACTCCTATATCTGCATGTATAGAACTTACCCCACTGAGCTTCAGATTCATGTATTCAATTACCTAGCTGACAACTCCATATGGACCAAACATGTCTAAAACAGAATTCTTTATTTCCCAAACACACTCATCCTTCACAAATACTTAACTACCTTCAAATGGTTGCTCTTCCAGTGTTTACCTTTGTAATAGCACCACCATCTTAACTAGCTGCTTAATCCAGAATCTGAGTCAAACCTGACTCAGACCTTTCCTTCATTTCTGCATCCAAACTGCATTCAGTGACCAATCAACCAGCCCACATTCTTTTCCCACCATTCCTCAAAAGCCTCCCCTTTCAGAGTTAAAAACATCCAGTACTTTTTAAACCATCATGAATTATTAACTTCAGTAGCTACTGGTAAGATGATCCTGTATCTAACTGCTACTTTGCTTATGTCAAATTTTCTTTATTTGTAGTAGGGTTAATGACTTTTTTTCAGTTGAGTTTCATTAAAAATCTTTTACACTTACTGATATTCCACTAGGGAAATATTCCTTACCTATTGATATTCCACTAGAAAGAGTAGAGCTTTCAGCTTGCCCTCGAGACGGTGCGTGGGGCTCCATGACGCTGTCATCTAACAGATGTCTTGGCCCTGCATTTGGGAACGTTGCACTCTTAAACTCTGCTGTATTCATTTTATGAATGAAACTGGAAAAGAAAAATATTTTTCATTATCTTTTGTTACTGTTACCAATTCAGGATATAAAAGATATTCTTTCTTATATAAAGAGTCAGGACATAAAAGATTTACCTGCTATTCTGAACTGACTTCTGAATACTTATGCTAAGGATGACACAGATTTTGCCACAAAACCTCAAACTGTTTAGGGATATTTTTTTAGAAAACCACATTTTATCTACCTGTGTAACAGAGAATACTTTAATTTCATCTCTCGAGTCACAGGTCCATTAAAAACCTGTTTTCACGTTCACTTTTTAAAAACAGCTATTAAAATTTCACAAAAATCTTAGCAAAGGGGAACTATGGGTCTTGTTTTGAGAAAACAATCTTGGAAAGCTAATGAAGTTAAACAAAACATCAGTTTCCCTTTCTTCATAGTGAGGAATAAAAATAATAATTTTTATTAGACCTTAATTTATGGTTAAGACAAGCAATGACATCTTGATACAAAGGTTATAATTTACAAGGAAAATAGTATATTGCTTTCCTGATTTTATTTATGATAATGCTCTGTAATATGGTATATTTATCTCCCCTAAATGTGAAGGCACTACTGGGTGAAGTTCATTTCCAAATTAAGTTAAAGGAAGAAATAAATATTTTTAGGCAAACAAGATATTTTACCGAATCAGAAAAAGGGTACTGTTATACAAATAAAACTATGCAAACATCCTATATTTCTGTTTAGTAAAACAGGAAATAAATCCAACTAGAAACAACTTAAAAAATTTGAAAGAATTAAAAATGCTGACTTATAACCCAAGCTATGGCACTTCCTATGTCCATGTGGAATCAGGTTCCGGGGGGATGGCGGTGTCTGTGGTAGCAAGGCTCCTTCAGCTGCCACACTTTTTCTTCCACTTTGTGGAGATGCTCCTACTTCAGGACCTAACAGTTAAATCAGAAACAGAGAGAGAGAATGAGAAATTTCCAAACAATTTCAAAAGATTGTTTTATTTCTAATCCATTGATATAAAATAAAAAATGTGGTTTAAATTTTAAGATAATATTAATGCTAATTATATTTAATTGACTGAACATGAGAAATATTTGTCTTCTGAGTCTTAAAACACAAAACCCCAAACATACAGAATCTGGTAATTTCCATCTTGCACTAAGAAGGCAGTATAAATATTTTCTCTATTTATAGATGAAGCAGCAGAATTAGGAGAGAGGCTCAGAATCTCTTATCACCGATGAGACTGGTCTGAACACTCAGGTCTTCTGAGTCACTTAAGTTTACACATCGCTTTTTTACTTTTAGTTTAAGAACGTATAGAGCAGGTCGAGCATTCAACTTAGAATTTAAATCTACACTGGCACCGTTCAAGCTTACAGGAATAAAAGAAATTGAACTTAAAAGTGTACATATTTCCAAAACATTGCTTTAACAGTGAAAATAAAAGCAAACTGAAGAGATGCAGATTGAAGTGTTTTCCTCTGCTTGGAATACTCTTCCCCTAGATACTGTCACGGCCTGCTCCCTTGTTTCCTTTACACCTCATTGGATGGGCCTTCTAATGTTTTTACAATATACAGTAATATGAAGCTTGGTGCCAAAGTCTGTATTTAGAATTTTTAAAAAGGTACTTATAAATGATTTCTTAAATGAGTCTCTTCAGTTTTATATTTTTGGTTATTGTGTGGTAAACATGTAATATCCCCATTACAATGCACATAAATTAAGGGAATATGACTAATTTTTCATATTTTCAGTACTTGACCCAATATTAAAGTGAAATTTTGTAAAAATTAAGCATTAAAATTGTCTTCTATAATTATTCAAAGTAGACTTTTCTACTCAAACCATAGAAATTTCTAATATAATCAACCCTCATTGCATAGAACAATGTATTCTTAATAAAAAGAGAACAGATATTCATAAATACCCATTATTTTCTGTTTTATCTATTTTCCTTGATTAGTTGGCACATCTGATTGTACATTAGTGATACCATTAAGTAACAACGTTTTAATTGAAAAACAAAAACCCACATGGAAAAAAAACTGATGAATTTTAATACCAAACATTTTTTTGCATGTGCTAAGTGCTAAGTGACTATTTACTTTGAAGTATAATCTTTCTTGTTAAGTTATCTGATTTATTATTTGGTAATGAGAGAAAACTATGTATACTAACCTACTAAATCTTCCCTGGAAGCAGCAGAACGTGGTGTGCTTGTCCCTGGTTCTATCTTTAATGAAAGCCTGAATTTTAAGAAGAAACAAAACACATAAAGTGGTTAACATTTGAAAAAATAATATTAAAATTATTTTCTCACAAAAGACTAAAAATGTTTTAATGAAATAATCTCAGTTGTATGTATTTTTAAGAGCAATCTTTAATTGTTAATGTCTATATCTTTCATACAAAGCTGATCTTATGGTTATTCTAGGAAGTACTTACTGGGGGTGGGGGAGAAACAATAAAAAGTCATATGTAGAAACAAACTCCTCCAAACTGCTCCAATGTTCCTAAGTAATTCACATTTAAAGATATTTGATGAATAGCTAAAGAGTGATTTAACTTGAGATTATACTGATCATTGACAATTAAATTCAGGAAACTTTCACATATATTACTAAATATATTAGGCAAATTCTTTCCAGAAACTTTATTGGATGGGCTAATCGTTTGTGTAGCATTGAAAATTTAAAAGACTCCTTATTTAAAACTAACAAAAAAACCAACCAACTTATCAAAAGAAACATCTATACAAGTGAAAAGGTTGTTTGCAAAATTCCTGGTAAATAAATCCCTGTCCTAAATCAAAGTTTATCAGTTGGTATTTAAGTTCCCTTTAGGGTAATATATCTAGTTTTGAGTTCCACAGCAAAGAGAGATTATGATTCCTACCAGAGGAAACTATTTCAGGAAATAGGACATTACAGCAATTGTAAAAAATACTTTGGTGTAGTCCACAAAACCTGTTATTACTAAGCATTTGTCTGAAAAATTAATACATTTTACTTTTTAGCTTTCTACCAACTGGAATTTTTTATGAAATTGCAAAATGCAAGTGAATTCATAATGATAAATCTATTACAGATTATTAACTTATTATTTCTTTGATAACCTAAGAGGGAATTATATATGATATATCCCAATTCTTTGACAGTGTAAAATGCATGTATTGAATGGATGTATGATTAACCATATCAATTTGCTTTTTCACTTTTTACAGGGCAACTTACTTTAATTTCCTGGGCTTTTGAATATACTGAATTCATTCATTTGATAAGAAGTTACTGAACACCTGTTCTTGTTGGGCACTATGCTCTTAGCACTGGAACGTAACAGACAATGGCAGACGTGGTGTCCCTGCCTTTCTGAAGCTTACAGTCTAGCAGGTGAAAGACAAAGAAGTAAACAAAATAACTACCATTTCCTAACACAGACCCAAAGTAGAAAGGAACAGAAAGGACGCTATGGGTGAATCACACTGCTGTCAGTAGCAGCCGATAACTGACAGTAGTATAAAAAGTAGAAGAATCCTCACAGACGTAGCAATGAAGGCTTGAAGGCTAGTCAGGACGTCAGCTGTATGTATCATAATCAAAACACAACGTAGTAACAGTGATGCTAGTTCACTGAGAAAATTATGTTCAGTACTAAAATGAAATAACTTCAAAAGATTTTCATCCTGATGAACACATGCGCTTAACTGGTAGTATCTATACTGGCTGCCTATATAGATGAAGGTGCCAAAAACAGAGGCCTGTGGATAAGCAGTCATTTTTATTTAAATTTCTTTTATCATAAAAACTTTATAACTAATCATTTTAATGGCTCTTAACTTAAAAGGCTGATCTTCAAAACATTCAATTTGTAGGTTCATGCAAGGCAACTTCATCTTTAGGAAAACTATCTTCTTCAGTCTCCCATATGATGCTACAATAGCACCAAGTAACTTGTAGTTCCCCAAGTGAATACACTGTTTTCCGCACTACTCCAGGGACCACTCCAACCCTTGGAACACCTTTCCTTACCCTTCGTGTGCAGTTCATTCCTACTCATTGCTTGTTAAGATTAAGCCTCAGCTGACACTGTCTCTTGAAGTTTCTTTTCTCTTCTCTTTCCCACTTAAAGCTGAGTTAGATCCTCTCTTATCTATGTTCCCATAGCATCCTGGACATATCTTTACTCTAGGACTGTTTTATGATCATATTTTGTGAATGTGCTTTGCATTTAGACTGAGCTTCTAAATGGAAGAACAAGATCTTATTTTTGTAATCCCAGCAGCTAGCACCATAGCTCATCTATAAGAAAAGCTTAATAAATATTTGTTCAAATGAATATAATGGGAAAGCTGCTCTGATTCTAGCTATTCTTGAAAGCAAAACATTAATAGCATCAGCTTTTCTACAAAAATGAAGGTGTCTTAAATATGCCAGTTTATAGACAGTTAAAATTACTTAATGCCTTAAGTGGCTAACTTCATCTTTTCGGCAGAGTAAAAATGAGCCATCTGCTATAATCGTGCAGTTAATTTCTTAGACGTCACTTATACTGCATAGTTTAACTTGTTTTAAATACAGTAAAGTTTCTGAGCCAGCTATTGACATTTTTAATTACTTTTTCATATTTTGAGTTTTAAGATAATCTTCGGCACCTCTCTGGACAAAACATGAGTGGTTTTGTGCTATGTCAGTAATTGGACGGAAGAAAGAGTGGTAAATATAAGATACAGGCTATCAAACTCAAGAAACTTACAACTCTAGAGCAACAACAGATCTGTGAAGCAACTCTACTAAGCTGATCTGCTGGCCTCATATATTTTCACATAAATTACCACGTAAAAACTTTCTGTAAAACAGAACTTGATATAGAAACCCAAGTGGAATACTATGGTGTGAGGGAACAGATTGCAATGAAGGAAATAATGTTTTTAAACATTAATAAAATTTGAGGTAAGTTAAGTATGCATCCATAGTGTCTTAATATATTTCATGTTTGAAGGAAAATTATTTCTAGATGCTCTTCAGAATTTCTAGGCTCTTGTTGGTACTAATTCTATTCTGAAGAATTCCCCCAAAACTGCTGAAACTTATGGAACAAGGTAGTTGATAATCCCTGTCATATGAGAAAAGAAAACAACCTAGTCTTTCAATTTGGTAAGCTTTAAAAATATGATCTTTTACTAGAAAAAAATATTTGTAAAAGACACAAAGTTAAGTTGACAAGTTTGGAAACAACTGGCATGATAAAGCTAAGCAAAAAAACAAATTTTTTTTTAATAACAAAGGAAGCTAAAATAAACATGAGAAGCCTCAAGAAAAATAAGCTCTTTATCTTCCCATCTCTGGAAAACAACAAAACAAGAACACATAGCATACCACTGAAAAATAAAAAGGGTATTAATAATTAGAAAATCTCTCCCACCTTGGCAGTACTGTGGAAATCAGAGAAGGAAATGGATAGCTGTATATTAAATGTGATTTTTAAAAATCTTTAATAAAGCACTTGCTATAATAAGAGAAAAGGGTAAGCATGGTGTTATATTGGACAAATACGTCTCTAAACCAGAGATGAGAAGGTTCAATATTCTCTCAATCCACAAAATACTTTTTGAAAACAAGCTCAAAGATGTGTCAAAAATTACTATTAAAAAAGGAGTAATCTCTCTCTTTGTAGACTGTTGCATTAATTTTTCAGTCTACTAAAAGGTAGATCCAAAGAGATCCAGCACTTCAGTATGGAGAGAAAGGAAGAAATTTAAACTAGATCAAGCATTGGTTCTCAACAACTTGAGAAAGATAAATGATTTTTAAATAAAAGGACAGACTTGCAGATGTATTTGCATACTGGCTCAATCACATCAAGTGATTGAAAAGAAATACATGCCGATACCTTTAACCATTGTAAAGGTACGGCTGGATTAGGCATCTGCATTGTACTATGTGTAGGATCTAGAGACATAAGGACCAGGGGAGGATAGGGTGGAGGAGAGGACAAAGACATACAAACCTACTTGTAATTATCATCTTCCACAAACTTCTGTAGCTCTTCTATATACTGAACAGAGTTCAGATATTTTTGGACATGAGGCAACATGGGGATATCTAGGCAAAACGTGATAATTAATTATTCAGCAAAATTCATCTTAACCAGAACTTTAAAAGTTAAGCCAAGAAAAATACACTTCAAGAAAAATTAAGGCCATGTGGCACCAAAATTTAAATTAGCTCTTAGAAGGATGTTCCTAAGGTAAATTTTATTTAATGTAAAACTGAAGGAAGGTAATTTAGAAAATCAGTTGCATGCAGTTTGTATAAACACAACAAGCAGCTCCATTTACAAAGTCCAAGTTGATATTTGAGAAATTTCATAGAAATAAAAAAATCAAAGACACTTCACTGTGATTTATATTCAAACCTGATCTAAACACAGGATGTAAGGCAGTTTTTTTTTTTTTAAAGAAGACTGGTTCCATTTGCAAATGTAGGTTTTCCTCCCTTACTTAGAAATTTCAAATAAGATTAATTTAACATTACAATTTGGTGTTATGTTAAAAAATTGAGAGAAGGGAAAAGAAAGAGATGATTTAACTTTCAGTGACATAAGCAGCTCCATTTACAAAGTCCAAGTTGATATTTGAGAAATTTCATAGAAATAAAAAAATCAAAGACACTTCACTGTGATTTATATTCAAACCTGATCTAAACACAGGATGTAAGGCAGTTTTTTTTTTTTTAAAGAAGACTGGTTCCATTTGCAAATGTAGGTTTTCCTCCCTTACTTAGAAATTTCAAATAAGATTAATTTAACATTACAATTTGGTGTTATGTTAAAAAATTGAGAGAAGGGAAAAGAAAGAGATGATTTAACTTTCAGTGACACTTTAAGAAGTTTTCGAGGTTTTCTTAAAATTACAGATGCACATAAAGTTAGCTTTAAGACAATTTATTTTAATTAAATCAGAAAATGTAAACTATTTTTAATGTCATAAAAATTATGTATCAATAGTCTGTCTTCATTCCTATCAAACTGAAAGCATTCATTTTAAAACAAAACAAAACAAAAAAACACCTTTTCTAATTATTTGGGCTTGTGTAAGCTCTTTCCGTATATGTATTTCCATAAAATACAACTTGGACAAACTGGTTATTTACTCAATATCAGATTCAAGAAAGCTAGTCAGTTGTTACTAGGATCAAGAGTCTCAGCTCCTCCCCTAACTGAAAAATATCAGAACAATTTACATAATAGATCACGGAGATTAAATGAGATGAAGATAATAGAAAAACTTTTGCTAATTATGTTAGTATATTTGCTACAGAATAGAAGAGCAACAGATAAAACTTAAAATTTTAAATATGAAATCCTTAACTCCTTAAAAGCAGGATCTTAAACAGGATAGTAAATATTAAACAGGGAAATAAAACAATTGCTTTCCTTTATGTAAGAATGACGTCCCCTACTGTGTGCAAAGCGGCCGTCAATGTGCGTGAATGAGCCCATGGCGTCACCTCACAGCAGGGGCTCAGATCATCCCCCAGAGACCTACCATATTCACAGGACTGCTGTAGATCCGAAATTATTCGAAGGATGTTATTCATCAAATTTGACCTTTGCTCATTTTCTAGAATGCTGCCCGTTGATGGGTATGCTGAATCAATGTATGTTAAATCTGACAAATAGATACCTGAAATGAAATTGGATAAGTAGCGATATCTTCCTATTTGTAGCCTGGAAGAGTATGACAAAATGAAGGGAAGGAAAAGCTAGTTTATAGCTATATTGCAGTATATGACATATTTATAATATTTGTTATTAATCCACCGTAGCCTCGTTAAAGCATGGCCACTTAGGCCTAGATTTCTCGGTAGCTGAGGGTCAAACACGCAAATAATATGATTTTTGTAAATGTCGTCTTACACAATTTTCAAGTATGGTTTGAGACTGGAGTTAGAAACCTAACAGAAACCTATAGGACCTAATAGAAAGAAGCTGAACTCTTGAACTGGCTCTGACTCTGACTAGTTGTGTTTAATGGAGATAGTTACTTTAATCTCTGAACCTTAGTTTTTATGTTTATATAACTAGTACTTATTAGCCAAGCTGTGGTATAGAAATTACCTAGTTGAGTACTTGGTGCAGGGTAGTTATTTAGTATTAGTTCTCAACCCCTCTGCCTTGAGTTGATGACTATCACTTGAGTCTTAACTATGAAAATTTTGTCATTCTGGTAGAAATGTCTTGCTTTAAAGATTAACAGTTGGATTTCTGAAGGTTCATGTGACCACAAATTGAAGTTAATTCTCCTTCCCCCATTTCTCTGTACCAAAAAAAATGACATATCCCCAAAATAGCTTGGTTGTACTACTAACTACTTCTGGATATGAAAGTTCACTTATTTAAATATGTTTCCTGAGAGTCTACTATAAGTCAACTATAGTTAGAGAAAATAAGCTTTGCTACTTTTAACTCATGAACCCCATGGTCATGATCTCTCAATAAATGCAATCAAAATGATCTACCCATTGCCTTCCAAATAAGTCCTATGTTTTTCCTTGTGCCATTTCTTCCATCTTGAATATTTCCTAGACTCATCTCTGCACATCTAAATTATATATTATATCCAGGTCAGTGTCAACTGTCCTTTGGTTTTTTCATAGATTTCAGGAAATCAATTAGAAACCGTCTCGTGTAACAGATGAAGAATCTGAGGTCCACGGACATTAATGGGTATTTTTAGTGTCATGTGAACAACATGTTAGTGAAAGAGCTGAATCTCAGAGTGTACATCTGTCCCCCAAGTTTCTTTTTATTACACTCTGCTATGAACTCTTACAGTTATCTATACCATTCACTTGCTAATTCTTATGACTTTACAATCTCTATTTGAAATTTCTTGTATTCTGTTTAAGACTATAAATTCACCTAAGTCAGTTGCTTTATCTCACAACCTGAAGAAAATGAAAAACCTGTTGAGTGTTTTTTGACAGGTGTTTAATACAGCATAAAAGGTTAGCATGGCAATCTTTTTCCTCAGCCTAATATCATTCATTTTCCATACAGTAGATATTAACAGTATTCTTTAGGCCACTTATCAGAAATGCTTCTTTTTCTTCAGAGACTTTCAACTTTTTTTCATCATTTCAAACGAATCTATGCACTAGCTCCTTTCCTTTTCCTTCTGTCTTAGAGAAAGAAGAATCCCTTTGCTCTTCCCAAATTTACAGTGTGATTTTGAATGTAATCACTACTACCCCCTTTGAAACATTCACTGTTGCCTCCGCTATCACTCACCCTGCACTGGCTCCTTTCCCACAGCCAATGACACACTAAAAGCAGTAAGAAAAAATCCAAGCAACCCTTCCTTTGAATCTATCCCCTCCTCAAGATAGGACCCTGGCTTCTCTCTCTTCAATAAACACCTTGAAAAAGAAAAACAGACTACTACACTTACTTATTTTATCCGTCATTCTTTTTTAATGTAGTATTTGATACATATAAAAGTTTGCATGTGTCAGGAAACTTGTGATGGACTATGAAATAAGCAAAAAAAGTTACCTGGTGTCCTGTCTCCAGTGCATCCTTTTGGCTGTTTGAGTTATTTTACAACTCTTAAGTTGTTGAAAACTGGCAATTATATAAATTTTGTTCATAAAATTGCCAATGAATTATATTCAGTGGGATTAATTATTGCAGCTATTTGTTAAATACATTTCAGCATTTCTAATTGCTTTTAAGTATGCACACTACTTTGAATTCTCCCATGAAATGGTTGTAATACTCTTATAAATGGTTCTGATTCTTATAAATTTAATTATTTAAATAAGAACCTTGACGTGTATTCATTCTGTATTTGTGTGGGAATCATGATTTTATTTTAAAAAGTTATACTTTAATGCATGTAATATTCATTATCAAATAATAAAAGAAACATTTGTGAATGGCCAGTCATCTTAAAAACTAACTGCATCACCAATACTGTTGCATCACCTGTATGTTCCTAAGTCATCTCCTTGCCTCCTGTCCAGAGGTTAACTAACCACTACTTGAATTTTAAGAATATTCCCTTGTTTTTCGAGATATATACCTATATCCTTGCAGTATATTATGTACTTTTGCTTATTTTTGATCTTTAAAAAAACGTATCTTATGGTGATTCAATTAAAGATAGTTTATCAGTAAAGTTGGAACAAGAACATAGTAAGTGACTTTTAAAGTCTAAAATAAAAAATTTAAAGTATAGTCTTATCACTGGTTTGTGTCACTATTTTGTTTCTAATATCTTTTCATGTTGTTAGGTTACAGCTTTAATTCCTTAAATTGAGAGTAAATATGTAACTGTATCATAATTTATTCATTTTATTTGATAGTTCTGAGTTACTTCCCTCTTCCCTCCATGTAGAGACATGCTTGTATATGTCTCCTGGTAAAAAACACAAGAATGTCTCTTGGAGATAGATACACACACACACACATTTCTCTAGCATACAATAAAATATATTTCTCTATAATATATATGATATATTAATATTCAACTTTGTAAGATAGCACAATTGTTTTTAAAACATGTATCAATTCACACTCCCACTGACAGTATATAAATTTCTACTGATCCACACTTGTGCCAACACTTGATATTATCAGTCTTCTTAATTTCTGGCAATCTTGTGAGTACACAATGATATCACATTGTTTTAATTTCCTTGATTAGTAATGAGGTCAAATATTTGTTTCTATGAAATGTCTTTTGTCCATTTTTTCTTTTGGGTGTCTTTTTTTTTACTGATCTAAATTCTTAATATATTGTAGAAACTAATCCACTTGACAATTAAATTTTATCCAGTCATTCCCAACCCACTATATATAATTCGAAATCGACATCTATTTTGCTGCTGAAACTTACTCTGGCAAAGGAATGTCTTCCTCGTTATTAAATCTTTTAACATCTCTCTTGTTCTCCTCCTGCTCCTTAATCTTTCTGCAGTATTTTGACCATTCCCTTCGTTCCTTGGTCTTTACTGGCTTCAATTTACCTAGCTTCCTGTCCCTCCCATCCTCCACTTCTTTCTTTTCCTCATTTTCCCTGGAACTTGGTGTTCCCCATGGTTCTGTCATTAATATTCTTGCTCTAAGTACTTTGTCTGGATTATCTTATTTCTGTAGTTTCAGCAATCACCTAATTGTTGGTGACGTTCTAATCTCTGTATAGAACTGAACTCTTGATTTTCACTTTAAACGTAACATGCCAAAATAACCATTATTTGTCGCTAGGCTGTTCCAATTTCCTACTTTGGTTAATGTTATTACTGAAGTTAGAAGGCTCATAATTGCTCAAGTAAAAAGGCTCAAGAGGAATTTACTATCTTGTATTTTTTCCCAGATTAAGCTACTAGTGAATAGAACATAGTCACTGCATGACGAAATAAAGTATTATTACATAATATAAATTGGAGGCTAGTTACTGGCAGTCTCTCTGTCCCAGTGTTTTTAAAATCAGGAAATATCTAAATGACTCTCTTTTCCTAAAAACTGGGTAGATCTGGCAAATGAGGTACAGCTGAGAAGGGTGCAGATCCCATTGTACTAACTGTAAGGATGCCGGTTTGGCATTATCCTCATTTTCCTCTATTACCTCACTTCTGGTTCACTTTGCTTGTTTACATTACCTGCTTCATTCTTGTTGTGGCATTTGTCTTTACAGGCTCTTGAGTTTGCAACCCCTGGCATACCTACGTATGTCACAGGAATTTAAAGAAATTCCGTGGTAAAGAGGTAGAAACTAGGCTGACTTTAAATGAAGGATGCAGATTGACAAACAGTTGATGGGAGAGCCTATGAGAAATGCAACAAGGACGGGAAAGCACATGGTATATATTAGAAAGTAGAAGCCAGAAGTTTACCCAGGAGCAGCAACCAGCAATTATATAGCCCAGTGAGAGACAGTGCGGCGTCATGCTTTGGAAGTAAGATTTAAGTACGAGTTCTACTACTTAATAGTGAAGTACTAAGCCTAACTACTTAAGATGCCTACATTTTTGATTCCTGAGCTACTGAGTTACTTAATCATTGTAATAGCATAGTTGGTAATCAACAATTATTAATTCCCTCTCCAGCACCTTAATACATAGCAGAAGAATTGGGCCAAACATAGGTAAAGTGACTTGTCTTAAGTTCACACAGTCGGTGGGAAGTCAGACCTCTTCTCCCGCCCCATTCGGGCCAGGGTTATGTTTGCTTTTAAATCACAAGGCATCAACTAATAAGAATAACCTTACTCATAAAAGGGGTCATGTAGAATAGGTGGAAGTGGTATTATATAATATCAAAATTTACATTTAAAATTATTACATTTCTAAAAGAATTATATAACAGATTTCTACTTATTTTTGATAATTACATATATGAAGCAGTTTTATCTTAAGAAATATTACACAGTAAGATATAACATATTACCACATCAGGTTTCTTATAATTATGTTTAAAACCTTGTGAAATGGCAACTCAGTGAAACGTTTAAAAGTTCTTCTAGGTTTTAAAGAGTATTGTATTATTAAGGTGGCTGCCTCATGACAAAGTCTAACTCTTGTTCTTTGTAAGAAAAACAAACTCATCAGCCTGCAACTACCTCTAAGTGAGGTCCAGTACTGTTTTCTCAGTATCTCTGGCCAGCGGGCTGAAATGTTTATTTTATAATTGCCGCTGAACTATGACAGTTTGTTTCCAGATGGTGCCCTTCCTTCAACCTGCACACAGTCTCTCCTTGTTCAGAGCTATTCAACCTCCTGCTGATCCCAGTACCCCCCACCCCTATTTAAGGCTACAGAGAGGAAATCCTAAGGAGGAAATTTTCCCTTCGAGTCTCCAGCAACGTTTTGGTGACGTATTAAGTGGGCGGAACTTGAGTCTACCAAGAGAGGGAATCACTATTCAAGGGTACTGCATATACAATCCAGGCCAGCTGCAGCTGGTTACTGCATTTCTCCATGTGGCAGACAGAGCAAAGCCACAGTGCTTTCTCTGCTGGATTACAGATAGCCCACAGACCAGAACTTCCACTCTACTACTTAAAATTGCATAGGTGGCTTGTCAAATTCAATTGATTGGTGTTGTAAGAAGAAAAAGAAGTTCCTTATTACAGCTTGGATTTAACGGTCCATAAAAAAAAATGAAGTTGCCATTAAAGTCACAGACGAACAAACTTCTATGCTGATTTTTAAAAGCAAGAACAAGAGCAGCAAGTTTCTGGGTCTGCTTTATCAACAGATAAAAAAAGGTATTTTAATATTTCTTTAATTTTTATTGAAAAACGTTAAGTCAAAATGCATAATTATATTACATTTGTAGTAGAAACTTCAAAATCTTTTGAAGATTTTTGGAATATACTACAATTCCTTTAATCTGAGAAAGGTTTTGTTTTGCAGCTTTATGTAAAAACTGGTCATTAAGTTGTTCATGATGATTAATACATTATTTGAAGTTCAATTTAATGATATTTGGTGTGTATGCTTATAGACTAACACATATGTTCTGGGTTTCAGAAAACAAGTGCTTAAGTGACATTAGAAAGAAACTTTAACAAGTAACCAATTAAAGACAAACGGATACAACTAAAGAAAATAATAAACATGATTAGACTTTCACAAACTTACAGCTTGTATGCTGAAGACTGACATGCACTGCTAGATTTACAGCATAGCTACAAAACACAGCTAAGAAGATATAAAATTAACTGAAAGGCTTTGCAACAATACCTCAATTATAATACAATCAAATATTAAGCAGAAGTCCTTCTACAGATTTAAGATGAATATTGTGTTTCTTGCTAAAACTCAAAATTTCAAATAGTTTTCCAGTTTTACATGCAACAGTAATTTAACTTAGGTAACATAAATTAAAACTGCTACAACTGGAATTACTTGAAAAAGGAAAATTATTGATACATTAAAAAAAACCCCGAAACCTTACAAATTAGGAGAAAAATAAAATATGAAAGTATTATGTAAGTAGTCAACATCAACAATAGAAAGTAAGAACCCAGAAGATACAATTACTTAAATACATGATTAAAACACCAAAAGTATATAATATTTTTGGACAGAAATTAATTTTGGTAACCATACATAAGAGGTTTCTTTCAGTATTCTACCTGGGGGCTTTGCTTAATTGCATTATGAGAATAATTAAAAATAAATTACTAGTAACCAATAGGAACCAAAAATACTAATAAACCAAAAGCTTTAACAGCAAAGAAATTTGTTTGTTATAATTTGGGGATCCTCTGGTCCCTTTAAAAATTAAAGATATTAAACTGGTAAGGATCTTTAACAAACAAATAATATAATAGTAAAGCTAATATTTCTTCAACTTTGCTCTCCTGTCCTTTTCTTAAATATTCAAAACTGTAAATGTTGGGAGGATAAAATTTTTAAGCAATACTGAATCTAAAATACTATCATCTCTCTCTTTGCTATGAAAAGTGCATTAGACTTCATTAAACCTCAGTTCTCACTGAAGCCTTAGGCAAGCATTTAATCTAAAATTCAAATCACACAGATAACATCCCTTTCTTGAACATATCTCCAGGGAATGAGACTGTCCTCAAGTCTCTTCCCAGAACATAATTCACAATCTACCTAAGCTTTTTTCAATGCTTCATAAATTTAAGTTCATTGTCTCATGCCATTTTCAGAGCACAACACAGCTAGTTTAATGCTTCTATGCGTTTACCATCTGAAAGGAAGTAAATCCTGATTTTTATTTCTTCTCTCTACTAGCTGGCAATGTAGCAACTATGAAGAGAAATAGCACCAATAAAATTAACCAAAAGCATGGAAGACTTTTTTTTCCCCTAAAAACAACGAGGCAAAGACAGAGATTTAAACTTAAGTATACTGTAACTAATTTAAAACATTCTCTTGGGACCTAGGAAATATTTCACATGTACAGAAAGGTTTTATGAGGTGACATGGATTTATGGATCTTTCACTTTTAAAACTGAACATATGTGGGAAAATATTAAATAGGAGAATGTCTTCAGAAAATGTAACAGTAAACTTATTTTTAAAACCAGTTCTTAACTCATGACATAGCTAACCTACTACTTAAGAAACGTGGCTCCTTATTCTGCTTTAGGTAAATGACAACAAAGTCATTACTTGTTTGTAAGGATAAGGGAATTAAATTTATTTTAAAATTTTAACTTTTAGTTCTCTCCTGTAAATCCTAACTTAGGTCAGATTTTCTTATGGTAGACTTTATGATTTTAATTGCATAGGAACCCACAAAGAGCCAAGGCAGAGTACACTGAAAGGGGAAACTTTTGTTAGTTCAATTTAGATTCAGATTTTCACATTTTCATTCTTGCATGACAACACCAATACAAAGTCACAATACTGGTCTTGGATTATATGCTACTCGTTAAAATTCTACTTGTTCTGAAGTTTCATGTAGATATTTTCTGAATTTTCCTTGTTCTGGTAGCTTGTCTCATGGTAGATTAAATAATATAATTGTATGATCTGAGAGTTTCCCTTCTATTATTAAAGTGAAATGAGTGGATTAGTGTCACTAGGTAAGTTAACTATGTGGAAGAGAAGATGTACATTACCAAGTAGGCTTATGGCTTCTATCTTACTGTCCTTGATTTTTAAAATAAACCGTATCTAAATTTCATGAAACTGCAAACATAACAAATCTCACTGGCTTTTGGTATAGGTAACTCTAGTATAGTAGAAGCCCTTTTCTTCCTTGTTATAAAATAGATGACCCTTAAGGTCAAACATTTCTGCTGATGTCAGAAGTCAAAGTATGAAATCAAAAAACCGCAAGTACTCATCTCAAGTGTGCGCTGGCTTCTGGTCAGCGACAGGAGGCCTCTGCTGTAAACACAGAACACTATTATGCTCATCCTTCCTATTTTGGTTATGTTAGTAAAAGGAGAACACTTTTCCACACTTCATCCATTCTTTATCACTCCATTTTGAAATCACTCATTTGAAAACACCAATGGAGCTGTGGCTTTAGAGAGTAGTAGCCACCTTTGGGACTATGGCTGAAAGTCTGTATTTCATTGGTGGGACCTTTATTTATGGGGGTGAGGGTTCATAATCACAAGTCAGCCATATAACTATCAACTGATGGAATACACACAGAAGGAAAGGAATGACAGCAGAAAAGTTTGGGGTATAAAAATAATAGAAACAGACCTGAACAAAAATGATCCACAGACACTTTTGTATAATTCAGTAATGAGTCAGTGTAAAGATACAAACCAGGAAAAGACTGAAAAACACAAAGTTTAAGATGCCCCTGTAGTCATGACTAGAATAAAATTACAGGTTTAAGAAAATTATAAGTATTATATAGGAATTCCATTTGTGTGTTTTAGCTTCTCCAGGACTCTATTCTTTTGCAGAATGGCAATACTTCACAGTACTGCTGGGCGTGTAGATAAGACAGTTAACATGTGTTCAGCATGACATAAATACAAGGGATTTTGACAGTGCTGGTGACAGAAAATAGGATAGAGTATGTTGCCATATGATGTAGTGGTTAATGAAAAACATGATCTCTGGAGTCTTCTGCCTGGGTTCAAATTCTGGCTCCATCTTGTAGAAGCTGTGGGACTTTGTTGAAGGAACTTAACTTCTAGATGCCCGTTCCTTCACTGGAAATGAGGATTGTCATAGTCTACCTCAGAGGGATGTAGTGAGAAATAAAAATGATTTAATGCATGTAGACAGCTTAAAACAATGCCTGGCACTCAGCAAGCACCCAATCAGCATGAGCCACTGTTATTATTGCTATTATTGATATTAGGCACAAACAACCTGGGAACCTAGCTCCTCAAATCGAAAAACAAGTACTTTGGTGGAAAATCAAACAGAAAAGCTCCATCTTAGTGTACCCAGTGTCACCCTTCAAAAATAGCAGACAGGAATCAAGTTTATAAGAGTGGGAAGGTGGGCAGCTTGTTAATAAACCTGATGGAGTGACATACACTCATTCTACTGCTACAATTCTTTCAGGAAGTAACAAAGAGAAAGGAAGACGCTTTGGTTCTTGGAACTAGTTCTAGTGTTTCCTCTAGTGTTTCTATAGAAATTGTATTATTAAGGACAGGTATTTTGTGGGCCACAGCAAAAATGAAGCATTCCAAACACATATTCCAGCACATGTGCTACTGCTAAAAACATGACTGAGGGGCCAGGTAACCTGAATTCTAGACCTGGTTCTAAGATTACTCATTTGTGTAGCCTTGGTCTTCAACATGCACATGGGCTACAAAGAGGTTCTTGAAACAAATGGTCTCTGAGGCACTTCCCAACTCTCACCATCATGTTCAGTCACAAGACAGTATGGTAGTGGTTCCTTGGTAATGGTTATAAAAAACTGCTAACATTTTACTAAAATACAGTTCAGTAGAGCCTCTTAGAAGAACGAACCTGCTGAATCATACATAAGCTTAAAGCATACATATGATTATGGAGGAATTCTTAAACTTGTCACCAATCCTAAAAGGACATGCTACAACAAAATATACAAAGCTAACTTCCTGCTTTTAGATTTGTTAGATAAAAAAGATGTTTACTAGAGAGGGCCAATTTAATTCAAACTGCACATTATAAATATAAAACAGTAACTAGTAAAGCATTGGTTAGGGAAGAATGTTTTAATTAATCACTTACAAACACTGGTGTACCACTTTCAGAGCCTTAAGATAGCAAGTGAGCTTTTTAAGGTAAGACAAGTTTCTTATTAGGGCCTCAAAGCACCAAGAGCACCTGACTGACAGAATGTCTTTGCACCTAGTAGACATTCACCAAAATCTGCTCACTGAGCTGGGGAACAAAAAGCGTTACTTAAATAGGGTGTTACCTGGAGAGCTATTCTCTTGAAATCTAATTTTAAAAAAAATATGAAGGCACTATAATATTGAATTTAAGAAATTAGTAACATTAATTCTGGCCCAACTTACTAATACCAAGAGATACTCAGTTTTTTCCTTAGATACTTTATTATATTATTGACTTTAAAAGTAGGCTGATATTAATTCCTTTCTACTTTTTCCCTTCACTGGTTTGTTTTTTAAAAGACAACATACAACCTCATTTCAAAATGAAGGCTTTTATCTGGACCCTAAGTGTGCTATTCGTCCTACTAATGGGCGCTGGACAATGCAGAGGAGGACAGTTCAAAATAAAAAAAATAAACCAGAGGAGATACCCTCGTGCCATAGATGGTAAAGAGGAAGTAAAGAAATGTGCGTATACATTCCTGGTACCCGAACAAAAAATAACAGGGCCAATTTGTGTCAACACCAAAGGGCAAGATGCAGGTACCATTAAAGACATGATCACCAGGATGGACCTTGAAAACCTGAAGGATGTGCTCTCCAGGCAGAAGCGGGAGATAGATGTTCTGCAATTGGTGGTGGACGTAGACGGAAACATTGTGAATGAGGTAAAGCTGCTGAGAAAAGAAAGCCGTAACATGAACTCTCGTGTTACTCAACTCTATATGCAACTATTACATGAGATTATCCGTAAGAGGGATAATTCACTCGAACTTTCCCAGCTGGAAAATAAAATCCTCAACATCACCACAGAAATGTTGAAGATGGCAACAAGGTACAGGGAATTAGAAGTGAAATATGCTTCCTTGACTGATCTGGTCAATAACCAGTCTGTGATGATCACTCTGTTGGAAGAACAGTGCTTGAGGATATTTTCCCGACAAGACCCCCATGTGTCTCCTCCTCTTGTCCAGGTAGTGCCACAACATATTCCTAACAGTCATCAATACACTCCAGGTCTGTTGGGAAGTAATGAGATACAGAGGGATCCCAGTTTTCCCAGAGATTTAATGCCACCACCTGATCTGGCAACTTCTCCCACCAAAAGCCCTCTCAAGATGCCACCAGTAACTTTCATCAGTGAAGGTGAGTTACTACCTCTTACTGTTTAAAATCAAAGTACAAGGTTAATATATTTTATGGTTTATGAAACAATGCTTATAAAATGCTTATTCTTTATTTTTGTGATATAATTATACATGATAATTAAAATTTTTCTTTTTCTTTTCTCTTAATCAAGAATTGGAGTTAAATACATCTTTCAGCTCCAAGGGTCTAAGCATTAAGAAAAGCAGTGTATCTGTGAAAAAGTAGTTTCCCATCCAAATTCTTACAATGTAAGAGACAGCAGTGAGCCCATGATCTACTCCTAACCTCTACAGCCACCCTACTGGCCTCCAGTAGGTCCTCACTGCTGCGCAAATACTCCTTTATTTACCTCTTGCTGCTTTTCCCATCCTTCTCCTCTTCAAAAGGAATATTTAAGAATTTGCTTTCACTCTCCTTAAGCCTTCTGTGACGCCTCCTCCTCACCCCCATTCTCAGCACACACCATCCTCTGCTGTAAGGAGGTTAAGTCTACTCAGGTCAGAGATTCCTGTTCTTCCCTATCTTGAAAACATCTGCATGAAAACCACGTCCTCTTGCCCTCAGTCTCAGGAGAAAAGGGTATCCTCTCCTACTTTTCAAGGCTAAACAACTACAATTTGTACTTTATTCCCATGTAAATAAAGATGTTTTCACTAGCATAAAAAAAATACCCTTGAATTGATCTTAGTATCTCTTCCTCTATTTCTTAATTTCATTCCTTTCTTCCTTCATTCATTCCATATCAGTCACTGATCTAGGTGCATCAATACAAAGATGAATAACTCATCTTTGAGTTTGGTAAGCTCTCTAACTTTTTGAATATTTTACCTTCATTTTACACCTGCATCCATTTTCTCATAAGCCATTCTCCTGAATTCTTTACAAGTTAATTTTTTCCTTAGAGTGGACGGAATAACCCAAACACCCAAAAGTTAAAAAAAAAAAGAGTAAATAAATCATAGTTCAATCACTTATTGAAAAGGCAGGGCATGAAAGTACATATAGACTATGAAATAATTTTAAACAGTAACAAAAACAGAACAAAGACAAAAACTGGAAATGCATACTTCAGAAAGTGCTCCTATCTCTCTGTAGCAGAGGACACCACTGACCATTCACTTTTCTGCCCCTGGGCCTCCACATCATAACATGGTATCCTGACCCTTTCTACTTCTATAAGTCCTTCCTTGGCATAGTCTTCCTTCTCCTATGGCTCAAAGAGGCTTTCTTCAAGCCATTCTATTTTAGAGGCCTCATACACTTGAAGGCTACAAGTATCACCAGTGCTCCGGTGGCTCCTGCATGGAGTTCTCTGTCCTGCTTCTAACCAATGTTGAATATTTGCATCCGGATATTCAATCACTACCTCACATGCTGCTGCTGCGTCTGTTGAAATACCTTCTTTCAGCTTATCTGTCAACCTGGCAGATTTCAAGGCTTAACTGAAATACTATCTTCAGTGTTTTACCTTCCCAGATTCTATCAAATCTATCTTGAGGGCTCTTTCCTTAAATTGCTGACTATGTCTCGAATATGTTTTCTCTATCACCTTACACTGGGGTTATTTGTTTGCATGTCTGTCTCTCTGCTAGATGGAATGCTTATGGAAGAAAGTGAACTATCTTTTCGTTTTCCACTACAACAGCTAGCCAGGATCAGGTTTGGTATATGGTGCTCAGCACAGTGTAAGAACTACAATAAATACTTGAGGAATGAATGAATGAAACAGTAACTAACCCCAAAATAATCTCTTCACCAAACAAGCATTCTCCTTTTAGAAATTATTATAAAAGTAACACATATTTACTGAAGAAAATCTAGAAAATAAAAAATTTTTTAAAAAGCTTCCCCGATATCCAAATACTCAGAAATAAACTGAAGTCAACACATTGGCAATAACCTTCAAGTCTTTTTTTCCCGTCTCTTAAACATCATAATCAATATTCTCGTAACTGTGAAAAACTACCTAATGCAGCAACTAGAGGACAGAGATGTCCTGGATCACTAGCTGTGTGACCTTGGCGGGGAAGGGGCTGTTGCTTTGCGCTTCAGTTTCCTCAACTGTAAAACAGGGATAATAAGAGTACTTACCTCATAGGAGTTAACACTTGACTGGTGTCTAGAACAGTGCCTGTATCAACACTCAAATGCTAATTCTAGAATTGTGTAATAGCTTGCCAACCGGTCTAAGTCTTTCTCCATCAAAATGAATTCTACATTGCTAACAGATCTTTCTTCTTCGACTACCACTTTGGTCACATCACATTTCTGCTCAGCAGTTCCCCACTGGAAACTGGAAAAGTCCAGTTTGCTTTGCCTGGGAAGAGTAATATGTTTCTCAAAAGAACTGATCCTACCTGTTTGTTTTCATTCTATTCATTTCCTTTACAAAAACCATGCTGCAATAAAATGAATGAATTCATTGTCTTCTGAATATTTTCCATGCTTTCTGCCTATTCAAATTATAAGGCTCGCACCCAAATAAAAATATAAATAACTAAAATAGCAACTCCTCCTTGAAGCCCTTTTTGACTCCCACAGCCTTCAAGTGATTGCTCCCTCTATGAATGTCTCTACTTTCTATAACATATGTACAGTATTTCTTATATTCTTTCTTGATTATAAGTTATCTTTATGTGTACACATAGTAGTTACATACACATCTAAATAAAATTTCATTCCAGGTATAATATAAGTTCCTTTCTAGTAGCTGGATATTGAGTCTCATTTGCAGATGGTAAATAAATGTTGGCTGACTTGACATTACATTTTTATGGACACTTCTTAAAGCTGTCAATCCAAAGATTTCCATGAAAGTACTTTAATACATTCTACTCTCCTGGATTCATTCATTTTTGTACTGTCCTAACTCTTGTAACAACAGGATAGAGTACTATTCAATTAGGTCAATGATGATGATTGTTAGTATCCCCAAACACTTTGATTTCTAAAGGAAAAATGTATAAAAACAGATCCACTGGACAGAGAAAAGAAAAAAAAATACTTAACTTTGATATTCTTAGAGTATACGTTTTGTGTAAGCTTGTAATGTATACAACTTGTCAGTATAGCAGTTTGTACACATAATTTACAAATAAACATAACTGAAGTGTGTGGAATATTTTTAAACTCATGGGGTATACAATTATGTAAATATGAAGATGACTGCTATGGAATATTTTCTGTGGGTAATGAATCTTAAGTGGATAGTATCAATTTAGAGCAAATGATTATTCTTACACTGACACTCTAAAACATGTTGATATAAAATGAGATACATCATTTTTTGGCTTTACTATACATTGAGCTGTAGTGTAAGAAAAATCTAATATTACAGAATTAAATCCTATGCTAAGGATTTACCATATCAAAAGCCCCATTAAATAGACTTATTTTCATCAAACAATGGTGTATATAACCCTAATAAACCAATCCTTAATGTAAAAATTAAGGGCAGGAATAACTTTTCCTGTTATTCATTATTGATTTGTTGTTTTAAGTAAAATTAACTTTTTCCTTATTTTATTCTATAATTTTGGTCTCTGATATTCAAGGACATAATTAGCAACACCATAAGAATGTTCATTAGTATCTTATGAACACATAAGGGAAAATGCACAGAATTAAGAAAACTTGTTTCCTTTAAAATTGACCTTGGGTAAGTCACTTTGCCTGTTTTCTCATTTGTACAAGAGTGATGGTTGAACTGAATGGTTCCTTTCTAGCTCTGAAATTCTGTGATTCTTATCGAATATAACTTACTATATATAGTAATAAATAGACTTGTTACTTTCTTTTCTTTATATATGATGTGCTGAAATCTTTGTTCATATTATTCTTATGTCAGACTGGAAAATATGTCTAAGCTGTTTGAGTACTTGCACAAAAAGGGCAAAGATGGATGGCTATTGCTGTACTAATACTAACATCTGCTTCTGGCACCAAGAAGCTCATAATACTCTACATGTAGGCACATGGTCACTCTAAAGTCTCTAAATGCATATGTGCATGAATTATTTAAAAAGGGTTTTAGCCAGTCACAAAAAGTCAAATACTCTTATGATTCCACGTATATAAGGTACTTAGAGTAGTCCAATTCACAGAGACAGAAAGTAGAATGGTGATAGCCAGGGGTTGGGATGAGCGAGAATGGGGACTTGTTATTTAATGGCGATAGAGGTTCCATTTTACAAGACAAAAACAGTTATGGAAATTGGCTGCATAATAAGAAGAAGCCACTAATGTCACTGAACTGTACACTTAAAAATGGTTAAACTGATAAACTCTATGTTATGTACATCTTACCATTTTTAAAAAAAGGTATTTTAATGACAGGCAATTTTATATTTTCTTTTAAAATGGTCATAAGAAAAATGCACCCCAAAAGAACAAACTTATTATGAACTTACAGCAAATAATGGAGTAATTTTGTTAGTTTAAAATAAATTATCTCCAGAGACATTACCTTTCCCTACCTCAGTAAATGTTTGGGAATGTAACTGCACACCTGGCAAACTGCCACCAACAAAGTTCTTAACTGTTAATGTTATTCAGCGACTGCATTTTCAGTTAGTCTTTTATAATAGAAAGCATTACTCTTTCACAAATGGTATATTTATAAAAAATAAGTTTATTCCCTATAGGTGATTGGAGTTGAGAAAGTTCCTTCACGGTGTGTTTGAGCATAGATTTGAGTATCAGGAAACCTGGATTCTAACAAGGCTTCTCTGAGGCCCAGGTGCCTCTTTTGTAAAAGAGCCTGTTGTGGTGATTAAAGGAGGTGATGTCTGTCTGTGACGATGCTTTGTTGTGCGGTCTGACCATGCTTAATTACTAGTTTTGTGTGCCCTTCCCTGTGTGTGCTTTGCGTTGGGGGTATGGGGCCACACAAGCTTATAAAAGGTAAACTTAAAAGTTAAACTTGAAAAGCTGTTATTAGAAACTAAAAACATGCTTTTTAGTAGATAATAAGCTAATTTTCAATTATTTATAATGCT